CTGGATCTTCTGCGTGATACCCTTGAACGCGGAGGCCAGGCTGAGAAGCCTCTCAAGAAGGATGGTGCTCCGAGCGACCATGATGAACCCCAGGTTGTCCAAGTTTCTTCCACCGTCTCTGAGTCTGAGGACTCTTTTGACGTGGCTGAACTGCGCTGGATGGAGCATCCCGGAAAGGGCAACTTCAATCTTGAGCATGAATACACACTCAACGAGAAGTACAAGAAGAAGGAACACCACATGTACTGCAACCTCAACATCCTCTGCTTCTTGCGTACTTTTGAGATCCTTTACTCGCGTCTCCTGCGCATCAAGGAGCAGGAGGAGTCAGCCCGCGAACAAGTCCGACGCGGTGTTTTACCCAAGGCCGCTCACGAGTTGTGCTTGATTGACCGATTCCCTAGTGATTTCTTCTACGACGTCGACCCCAAAGCCAACCTCTACAAGCAGATCGTGCGTATGTGTGAAGAGGTTATCAAGGGTGACATCGATCAGGTTCACCTGGAAGAGACCCTGCGTCGGTTCTACATGCAGGGCGGATACCTCCTCTACAACCTGGAACGTATCTTCTCCTCGATTTCCAAGTTCGTGGCGTCTATCTTTACCGGTGACTCTCGTGACCGCAGTTCCGATATTGTCAATCTCTTTTTCAAGGAACGGGAGAAGGAGGAGACTACCCACCACCAGGAGATCCAGTACCGTAAACAAGTCGAGCGACTGGTCAAGGATGGAGATATCTATCGCATCACCTTCGTGAGTTTTCTAGTTTCCCCAAGGTTCCCTGACATCGACTAATTCATCCCTCAGTACCCAACTGACCGCCGCGTCACCGTTCAAGTGATGACCAGCGAAGACGCAACCCTCAACAACGACGAACTCACTCCAGAAGAGCGCTGGTCCTACTATGTGACCGCCTTCTCGATGCGCGACCCAACCGAAGGCGTGCAATTTTCCAAAATGCGCATGCCCCTACTGAAGCGCAACCTTCCTCCCAAGCTCGAAGAAGACGAAGAGTACGAGCGCTACTACCGCAGTCTTCAGCACCACGACGGCCTGATTATCCGCATTTGCGCCAACAACTACACCATGCTGTACCAGCCACCCACCCATGACTGGTTCTGGCGTTCCAACGCTCCCATCCCAGAGAGTGACGAAGACGCCGATGCAATCAAGGCGCAGGTCGACGAGCTCGCCAAGGAGAAGGTCGCGCTGCGCGAGAAGCGCCACGACCGCTTCGTCGAGAAGTTCGTCAACAACCCGTCCTGGGCCCGCGGCCTAAGCAAGGACCAGGTGGACGAGAGCAACCAGCGCTTCCGGTCCTGGGTCGATGGAACCCTCTCCGACAGTCCTGCTTCGGGCCGTGAGGGATCTGCATCCGGTTCTGGCTCTACGGCCCCCGCTAAAGCGGAGGCGGAGAAGGATGATGGTGCGGATGTTGAGATGACCGATGCCGAGCCTACCGAGGCGTAGTGGGTGTAACTTTTACGACGGGTCAGTCCCCCCAAATGGGGGGGACTGACGGGGACTGACATGCATTATTGTTGATCGTGGGAAGGAGGACGGCGTATGATGAGGAAATTGTGATGAAATTTTTTTCCTTTTTTCTTTTCTCTCGACGGTTTCCGTAGTTTGTATTTGTATCTCTTTTTTCCCCCTTCAAGTATCTCTTACTTTATTCTCACAAATGAAATGGTTATGAAGAGATTGGCTTGCTTATTCTTCATTTGATTGATTCGGGTGAAGGTTTGCACCAACTCATTATTTCCTTGCTAAATGAGTCTATATCAATCCAACCTCCAGTCTGCCGGATCCTGCATTGCGTATCCTATGATTGAGGGAATGCCTTGATGTAACGCTTGACTCAAAACTTCTGGGGTAATCAAGAAAGGGGGAATCCTCTACTCCGTAGATCGTCGGCTTCTCTTGCTCAATCGGCAACGTCGGAATCACTAGTGGCAATCCACCTCATACGGAGTAAACGGATTGTCCAATATGCGTTAGTATAAACAAAATCTCCGTGTGGCCGAGCCAGCTTAACCGATTCCCGAGACAGACTCGGGGGAAACTCGGGGGGTACTCGAGGGGTGCTCGAAGGGTTCTTCCTCCGATCTCCTTTTCACTTAATGTGATGTGTATATTTTAAATTGTGATTTTCCAAATTAGACTGGGTTAAATGCTCTCTTTAATGACACACTCTCAAGGATCAAGAAGATGACAAAACAGTGGAGAGGACGATGAAACCCGAGATCTGACCGAATACCGAGAGAAAGCCGAGAGGGATGATCGATGTCATTTTGAAATGTTTCGAGGAGAAAAGTTAACTTTTGATATTCAAAGATTAGGAGGGAAGAGATCTTAAATAGAATCAGAAATTGGATCTCGGAAATTGAAATGTTGAACTCAATGGGAGCTAATATAAAATATCCTGAAGTCCGCACACAGACCCTACCAAATCCACATTCTGCCGGAGATGTCGGCCATTTGTGGAGACCTCTGCCCGTGGGGTTGAAGAAATTACTTATACCCCCAGATCCCCTTCCATCTTTTTTCCCAATTTTGACCCTCTCCCCTCTTCCATCATGTCTGCTTCGGCCCTATTGAAAAGCCGTGTGCGGCGCCCATCGTACCTGAAGAAGCTCGCTAAAGCCGAGGATCTCATCCACCACTTCCCCAATGGCACGTACATCGGCTGGTCCGGATTCACCGGCGTTGGGTACCCCAAGTATGTAACGTAGACCAGTGTTGAGGACAGAATGTTAACCCTCATCCAGGATGGTTCCTACTGCTCTTGCAGACCACGTCGAGAAGAACAACCTCCAGGGACAGCTGAAGTACAACCTGTTTGTGGGTGCCTCCTCCGGCGCAGAGACCGAGAGTCGCTGGGCCCACTTGAACATGATTGAGCGCCGTAGCCCCCATCAGGTCGGAAAGGAAATCGCCAAGGGAATCAACAACGGCCAGATCAAATTCTTCGATAAGCATCTGAGCATGTTCCCCTCGGATTTGGTCTATGTAAGTCTCGACAACTTCCGAAGCAAACAACCACCCTGCTAACCTTTGCATTTCCACCAGGGCTGGTACACTCTCAACAAGGCTAAGCCTACGATCGACGTGGCAGTCATTGAGGCTTCCGCGATCACTGAGAACGGAGGCATCATCCCCGGTGCCTCCGTCGGGGCTTCGCCCGAACTGATCCAGATGGCCGACAAGGTCATTATCGAAGTCAACACCTCCATGCCCTCCTTCGAAGGCCTGCACGATATCACCGGCTCCGAGCTTCCCCCGGCCCGCAAGCCCTACCTCGTCATGGCCCCGGAGGACCGCATCGGAACCAGCTACATCCCCGTCGACCCCGAGAAGGTCGTCGCCATCGTGGAGTCCACCTACCCCGACCAAACCCTCCCCAACGCCCCCGAGGACGAGGGTTCCCAAGCCATCGCCTCGAACCTCATCGAGTTCCTCAAGCACGAGGTCAACCACGGTCGCCTCCCACCTAATCTCCTCCCCATCCAATCCGGCATCGGCAACATCGCCAACGCCGTCATTGGAGGCCTCAGCAAGGGTGGCGCCGACTTCAAGAACCTCAAAGTCTGGACCGAAGTCCTGCAAGACTCCTTCCTCGACCTCTTCGACAGCGGAAACCTCGACTTTGCAACAGCAACCTCCATCCGCTTCTCCCCCGACGGCTTCAAGCGCTTCTACGACAACTGGGACCGCTACGCCGGAAAACTCCTCCTCCGCTCCCAACAGGTCTCCAACTCCCCCGAGATCATCCGTCGTCTCGGCTGCATTGGAATGAACACGCCCGTCGAAGTCGACATCTACGCACACGCAAACAGTACCTGCGTGATGGGCTCGCGCATGCTGAACGGACTCGGCGGATCCGCCGATTTCCTGCGTAACTCCAAGTACAGTATCATGCACACTCCCTCCGCGCGTCCCAGCAAGACCGATCCCACCGGTGTGAGTTGCATTGTTCCGTTCGCTACGCACATCGATCAGACGGAGCATGATCTCGATGTCGTTGTTACCGAGCAGGGTCTTGCTGACGTTCGCGGGTTGTCGCCCCGTGAGCGTGCGCGCGTCATTATTAAGAATTGCTCGCACCCTGATTACACGCCGATCCTGACTGATTACCTTGACCGTGCGGAATTTGAGTGTCTGCGCAAGGGTATGGGTCACGAGCCGCATCTGCTTTTCCAGGCTTTCAACATGCACAAGAACCTGCAGGAGAAGGGTACCATGAAGATTGACTCTTGGGAGTAAATTTGAGTGGTTGGTTGTAGGTTGAGGGCAATGCCTTGTTTGAAGCTTGGAGACGCCTTATGTTTGGGCGTTTGGTATCTCTATTAGCGGCTTATATGTATATAGTACTCGAAATGCAATTTTTCTTTTTTTTTTTTTTCCCTCTGGGTTGTTTTTGGTTGTCGATTGGTTGGTTCGTTGGGAAGATGCACGGACATACTACTTGCCGAGTTGTGCAGTGAAGTCCGGGGTAATATGCGTGAGACACTTTTTGTGCAAAGAGAGCTTTGACACCTGAACTAGAGGGCTGCATAATTTTGTCCAATTGGCATCTATGCTTAGTACTCGCATACAGGTCACACCAGAATGGAACCCTATTCCGGTCCATCCCAAGCTTATGTGATAAGGTCCAATTATTATGGCGGGGAACCCATGAGACAGTAAAGATTCAATATGAATATGTGAAATTAGCATCGACGATGTCCGGACAAATTTAAATTGTCCAGAAACCAAATCTTGCCACACCAAACTCCTATATCAAGAAAAGACATGGTATAATAACAAACAAGCCAAGCTCAAGCAAAAAGAAAAAAAAAAACAAAGAAGGAAAAACGCAACCGCCAACGAAAAAAGAGCTTGTCATCATCTCAATCTTCTTTTAGTCTCCATGTCTAGAAAAGACAGAGTCTAAGAATGGAATCCGGACTGGAGAACCGAGCCACCCATCTAGAAAGATCAAGCACTAGTGAGTCTGTTCAGAGTCCAGTGAGTCTATGGAAAAAATCAGTATCCTGTCCAAGAAACAATCCAAGCCCTGTGTATCAGAGACACAACGTACCGACTCCAAATGGACCCGAGAATGCCAGGCTGCGCAGCATCGGACTTGCGTTGAGCCCAGCCGTGGTCGACGTTGTAGTGCTTCACATCTTGTAGCCCAGCAAAGAGGCCTCGTCCGGCCGTTGCGCGCTTTGGGGAGGTTAGTGAATGGATCCTGCGGGGATGGTGATAGTGGCAGTAGTAGACATACGCGATGCTGTTGAGCGGAATTCCGAACCCAGTAGTCTGCGCCGTAGTCATTTTGCAGACGGGCGTGCTCGCTTTCAGTGGGTTTGGATGTGGCAGGCATTTTGGGTGTGTTGGTTTGTTTGGATGGTTGTGCAGGTTGGTGTTGATGTATTCAATATCAGGTCAAGTAACCGAGGTAGGTATTGTAGAAGAAGATCGTTGTGTGATGAACAAAACCCACTCCCTCGTCTTAACATCTCATCCTTATATACTCATTGCACCTCCTATGTCATAGCAATTATAAAAAGCCGCATGGCAAGTATGGCCTGACGGCATCGAACCGAACCCTGTGTGTTCCGAGAGGCTGGATCATGGGACATGACCGTTAGCAATTTCTGGGGCATGTTCTGCATAGTGTGATCTATATCTCGGAATGAGTTCATTCGGGTTGGGGTTCTGCATGTGGTAGGTGCAGGGATATGGTGCGATTCCATGCGGATTTCTCCGTCTCTTTTTCTGGGGTTAGCGCAGGTTAGTCCCCTAGAGCGGGTTCCAGCTCGGGTAAAATCGTAAAAAAAAAATAAAAGTCCCTGCTGCAGTTGCAAAGGCTCGCTGATGTCATCTTCTCTGTTTGATTTCCCCTTTACAACCCATGATTCTCTCTCGGTGCCCTTTACGGTTCAGATTCCTTTCTTAGAGCTCTGTTCGAATTAGGGCAATAGAGCATTTAGGAATTCTCGTGGGTTGAGTTCTGAGATTATGTAAGCGCGCCGTTACAAGTCGCTAATTAACCAGTTAGCTAGCCCTAACGCATCGAGCGAGGATTAGTAATACGGAGCGCAGGGGAGCAGGTGGAGAAATGAATCCTTGTGCCGATTACTATTCGAGGTCAGATGACTGGAGTAGCCTGAATGGCATGATCGGGTGGCACGATGATGGTCAGATTCGACCGGCAAAACCCAGGAACACGAAAAGTTCTAACGGAGTCCAAACTTTGACTTGGATTAAAATGGAGACTCGAGATGCCTTGGAGTTGTGTATATAATCTTGTATCTTGTGCGACCGTCTTGATAGAACATTTCGGATGCACAGATCGGGGATAATGTACGGAGTACGGAGTACAATTGAGCGAAATCAACTTCTAAACTTTCACGGGATAGACTTAGAGGAACTCACTCTAAACTTTTCAATGTGACATTTCCTCTGCCATCCCCGCTGATACCTCCGCCATGCACTCATCCTCCTGCGGTGCTGGTCAGAACGAGACAAAACTCAACAGTACAACACACAGAAAGGCATCTGTCCCAGACAGGCCACTGTAGATAATGACAATGGCGGAGAGGATCCTAGCTGGTTAATTCTATGAAGCTGTTAGTTTATACGAGTCCAACAAACTCATCTCCTCAGCTCTAACCACTTTGTATGTGATATTCTTCGATCGCTGTCTCTCCTCTTATCCCGACGTCGATATTCTCGTACGAAATTGTTCCATATATCTCGACCGTCGACAGGGATATCGAAGACGAGGTAGGTAGTATGTAATCTGGATGCCAGTGACCTTCATCTGCAAATGAGAATCTAGAGCCGAGAAATACGCCGATGGTTATCCATGTGCCAGGCTTGCGGTTGACATGCGGCTGTCATTTTCTTCGTCTCCTTCTAGCCGGAGACATGGGAATGACTGGAGGGCGTGTTAAATGTTGCGGAACAAGCCGTGAAAGCGATCTGTCTTCGCCGCTACCTGTCTCGTTTGGTTGGGGGGGGGGGGGCGAGGATGTTGGAGAGCTTCATGCATTGTTCTGACCTTGCAAAGCCCTCAGAGATCTATCGTGAGGCCGGTCGATGGTGCCTATACATTGCTCACGGGTGGACAGGGGGCAAGTTAAAAGAGAAAAGAGGAATTGAATAATCTCTTCTTCCATTGGTCGACCTAACTTGGTACTCGGTGGACTGGTACCTTTTCTACAGGCACGCTAGACAAAAGATACCTGCTTCAAATCTCTCGTCAACCGCACTCACCACTACTGTACAACATACGAAGATCCTACGATATTTGAGATCCGAGGGATGTCCTGTAATTCCACATCCATGGGCTGGAGCTGAAAAGCAAGCCATGGGAGATGTCGGGAAAATGTGATGGTTGGGAAATCGAGAAGCGAGATGGCACCTGACGTTCGAGGTACGGCGCACACATTCCATAGACCGTTTCCATGTGGCCCAATATGACCCTCCAAAATAATTGAGATGCGGAATGCCATTATAAATCAGCCCTAAAGTGGACATGCAAGAAACCTGAGTCACAAACCCGGTCACGGCTACAGAAAGTTCCCCGGAACAGAAACCCACACATGGTTGAGCCTTGGAACACGCCCCCCCTGGAAGCCCCTGAATAACCTCAGAAAGGGCATTGCCAAGCCTCGCCCTAAAATGCCAACCTAGCCTAGATCCGCTATTCCCCTTGGCCTTTGCATCATTGGAATTGGCAGATGAGCCAAGAGTATTTCGGCGGTCTGGATCATTGACTTGTCTTTGATTTGGGCACTCTGGTTTAATGCCGAGCAGAGTCTTCTGGACGTCCATTTAATTTACCCACAAATGCGAATCAGGAGCGTGGCAAGATTGGGTCTCAATCCACGATTGCTTCACATTTGATCCAACTGATTTCCCAGGTTCACCTCACCGTCACTGACCAACCCATCCGTGGGGGAATGTTTTGGCCTTGACCCAACCCGACTGACTGGTGAGTGTAAAACACCTCGCGCAGAACGGGTATGATAAGTTTCATTCAGGAGTCACTAGCCATGGTAATTTCATCCACCATTACATAGCGGTCTTCTCCGCACGACACACCACCATCGGCTGTGCCCCAGAATCTGCCGTGATCTACCCCATGAGTTTTGATCGTCAGTCGATAAGATCCAGATTTTCGCTCTCACGGTGATCAGCACTCGGTTCATGGAATACCCAAGGAACTCTTTGCTACGTGCTTCCTACTTCCATGTCTTGTACTGTGTATCCTTGCACCGCATTGCCCGTGTGGGTGGTCGGCGGTATCGGGTAGTCCAGGTGAGGTGTTTATTTTTGTCTACTTTGCTCTGGCAACGACACTAAGTAAATGGCTATGCTCTGAGTAGAAGGTGGCTCGACGTCCACGCGGTCCTTCCCTTTCGACCAGATTAATTAAATGGAACAGTTCAAGCTTCTTGCCCCGTTAATTAATACTTGACTTTAATTAGTGATGAGTTTTAGTGCATCTCGCTCGGAGATCGTCAGGGGGGGGGGAAGGCAGCATTGAACAAAAGAAGAGAACCCAAAGACAAGAATGGGGTGGGATGAAAACATGGGGATTCGAGAGACTTGTTGGAATAGGCTCCGTGGTAGTCCGAGACATTGGTCTCTCACTACTCCGTATGTTGTACTGCGTAGTTCGTTTATTGTAGGGAATCCACCAGATGGAACGATACACGTATTGTGGTTTTCGACGAAAGATCAGCAGAGTGGAAATTAGAGACTGTAGTTCAACCAATCAGAGAGGTGACAACACTCCACAGTAGCTGCCACCTTTCCTGTTTAGGACTGGTCGGGGCCGCTATGACAGTCAGCCCCACATGGCGCGAGAAGAGAATTTCCTGGTTGTTTTTGGGGGAGTTCTCGATGTTGTATCTAATCTTTGCACTGAGACATTGGCTTGTAAGCCAATCTGCTCCATTCTCTCTGGATCGTTACATTCGAGGCATTTCATTTGGCCTGGCTACCCGGGACCCGAGGGTTGCACAAGGGCTTGCCACCGAGGAAGTCACCGAGAGGCTGTAGTGGCGCCTTACATGGTCTGCTAAGACAGATGAAACCTTGGCCGCGTTTTGGTACCGTGTGGCTTTTCATGCGGGTAGGAGTTGGGAAAGTAGAAGTTGGAAGACCCTCACCGCGGTAAGGGGAAGACTGGTCTGGTGTGAGACAGGATACCTATTTTCGACGCTGGGGCCGAAAGCCGAGAGAAATAGGAGAGAAGCCAGTTGACGATCCGTGCGGTTTTGGTGTATTGATAATAATAGGTTTCAAATACGGACCGAGGTGCAGAGCTGTGGTTTATACTGAAATGGCCGTTGAGTGACAACAAAAATGGACCTGCGCTTGAGGATCTGACTCCAGAGACTGCACGCTGGACCTGCATACTCCGTATGCTTATCGGCAATCTTCCTCGAATTGTAATTGTGCGGTCTTCTGTACATATATCCAACTGTATACCCAATACAACACAACGGCCATACCGTACACTCTCCACTATTGCCCGAGCCGTGTGGGCCAACCACACGCAGCCAACACTCGGTCGTCGAATATCCAGCCAATCAGAGGAAGAGAGTCCCTGAATACCCATCTGGACTTGTCCAGGGGTAATTTTAGGGTAAATTAAATTGATACAATTCACGATCGGTGGACCTGTATCGAATGCAGAGGCACACTAAGGCCCTTTTTTAGGTCTTTTTTCTCCTTTTCTCTTCCCCCCTAACTTCCCCCGGTAGCGATTTCTCCAACAAAAGGCCTTGCGTGCCCCCGATCACTCTCTTGTCACCTTTTTAACCCACGTTCCTTCGATTCTGTACTACCGCTTCACTCGTTCAGCGGGCACTCATTCTTTCGCGTGGACTTTACCCTTTCAAAAAAATCAAAAATGAAGGGAGCTATTTTTGCCGCTGCCTTGGTCGGCTCTGCCATGGCCGACGGTGTGCACCGTCGCCATGATGCTTTCCACCAGCGTCGTGAGGCTTCGGCCAGCACCTGGTCCTCCGCCGGTCTTAACACCGAGGAGAACTGCGGCTGCACGACCAAGGTCATCACCATCTATGGTTCCCCTACCCTGGTCCCTGTCGAGAGTGTTGCTCCTACCCCGTCTACTTCCACTTCCACTTCCACTTCCACCTCCATCTCCACCTCCACCCCCGTCTCTACCTCTAGCTCTACCTCGACTTCCGTCCCCGTCCCCGTCCCCGTTGTTGACTCCACCAGCACTCTCACCAGCACTGTGCACTCTACCAGCACCAGCACTCTGACCGTGACTGTCTCGGAGCCTCACCCCTCGGTCCCGGCTGCCAAGAGCCCCGTCGTTGCTAACACTCCCGCCGTTGAGTTGCCCACTCCCGGTGTTAGCACCTACTCAGCCACTGGTGTCTACACCGTCCCGGCCACCACCCTCACCGTCCACGACACCACCACTGTCTGCGGTGCCACCTCCACCGAGGTCCCCAGCGGTACCCACACCTACGGTGGTGTTACCACCATTGTCGAGACGTCCACCACGGTCGTCTGCCCCTACGCCACTGTGAAGCCTCACGGCTCCACCGTGACCAGCGTCATTGAGACCACCACCTACATCTGCCCCTCGGCTGGTACCTACACCGTTGTGCCTCCGACCACCACCACGGTGCCCTCCAGCACCGTCCTGGTCTACCCCACCCCCCAGACCATTGTCCCCGGTACCTACACCCGTGATGAGACCACCGTCACTGTGACCCGCACCGACTACACCTACATCTGCCCCGTTGCTACCCGCAGCCTGGCCTCCGCCGCGTCTGCTGTGCCCACCACTGTTGCTGCCGCTACCACTGCCGCCCCTGTTGCCGCCGCTACCACTGCCGCCCCTGTTGCCGCCGCTCCCACTGTCGCCCCTGTTGCCGGCAGCGTCAACTCTGCCTCTGCCGCCTCTGTCGCCTCTGTTGCCTCCGTTGCCTCTGCTGCCTCTGCTGCCTCTGCCTCCAGCGCTTCCAGTGCCAGCTATTTCGCTGCCTCTAGCTCTAGCTCTAGCTCCAGCTCCAGCTCTTTCGCTGCCTCTAGCTCCAGCTCCATCTCCAGCACCTCCGGCAAGCCCAACTCTTTCCCTGAAGCCCTCGGTCAGGGCAAGTACGGTATGACTTACTCTCCCTACACCGCTGGTGGTGATTGCAAGACCAAGCAGGCGGTCCTCCAGGATCTCACTGTCATCAAGAGCAAGGGATTCAACTTGATCCGTGTCTACTCTACTGACTGCAGCGGCCTCGAGTTCATCGGTGACGCCTGCAAGCAGCTCGGCCTCAGCATCATCATGGGTGTCTACATCGACGGCTCCGGAATCTCCGCTGCCCAGGAGCAGGTGACCGCCATCTCCAAGTGGGCCGAATGGGGCATGGTTGAGCTGATCGTTGTCGGTAACGAGGCCGTCCAGTCCGGCTTCATCGACGCCGCTACCCTGGCTTCCTTCATCCAGTCCGCTTCCGCCAGCTTCAAGGCTGCCGGATACACCGGCCTGGTCACCACCACTGAGCCCATCGACATCTGGCAGGCTCACGGCGCTGCCTACCTCTGCGGTGCCGTTGACATCGTCGGTGCCAACATCCACCCCTTCTTCAACGCCGATGTCGTCGCCGCGAAGGCTGGTGAGTTCGCCAAGAGTGAGTTCGAGGAGCTTGAGCAGATCTGTAATGGCAAGGACGTTGTCAACCTCGAGACTGGCTGGCCCAACGCCGGTAACCCCAACGGTGCCGCCGTCCCCGGTGTCTCCGAGCAGGCCATCGCCATCAAGTCCATCGTCGAGACCGTCGGCTCCAAGTCCATCTTCTTCTCCTTCTCTGACGACGCCTGGAAGAAGCCCGGTGAGTTCGATGTTGAGCAGCACTGGGGTTGCTCTGGAGTCTTCTAGATTTGACGACTCTTGATGGGTTTTTGAATATTATTTGTTTCGTTCTGCCAATGCAAAACTTGTACAGGAGAGGATTAGGAGTTTTACCTTTCTCTGGCTTGGTGGTGTGTCTACGGACTCCGATCGGCCCTTTCTTCTCTTCTTGGTTTCTATTTTAAATTTGACTCCTGTGGTAGATACACCTTTTATTTGACGTTGTCTACTTACCTGGTTACACCTTTTCGATCTCATTATTCCTGTTGTTAGTCCGTTGTACATTTGCTCTCAATTATGTCTTCTTACGAGTTGGATTCCGGTAGTTTTCTCCTCTGCTCGACGTAATATGTAGCTGTGCTGTGCCGTGTCTGCTCTGCACATTGACCTTGGGTGATGATGCATCTCCTTCAATTTGCATTGCTCTTCCCACCATGTCCACCTAGACGATTTGGATTCCTTCAGGTTTTTTTTTATTACGATCACTTGTGCACAGCTGACATCATGCAACCCGCGTCCGAAACATTGGGGCAGTGCACATGACCCCCAACATAAGGCTCAGCACAAGACCTAACATCAAACTAGTGTTTATTTTACCGACCCTCATACGATCACTCAACACAGATTAAAAAAAAATGTACCAAAGAACAGGCACTGCTATCTTTTCCCTGTCAGGAATCAAAACCAGAACAAGACGCAAATCTCGAACCCAGACTTAATCCAAGTCTCAACCACATCAACTCTTTCAATCTCTCAACATGCCACTCCCATTCGAATGCGAGCCCTTCTACATGCGGCCCCTCCTAATGATCAACTCTATCACCGGGGGATTCTTCACACTATTGATCTACTTGGTTATCCCAGTAGCCGTGGCAATAGCCATAATCTTCGCCATCGGCTTGCTGTTCTTCGCTGTACTTGCTGTGGTGTTTGGCCGGGGTCCCAGTTCTGATGAAATCAAAGCAAAGCGGGAGAAAGAGAAGAGGGAGCGAGATCAAAAAGAGAACCAGGGAAGACCAGATGCAGATCTATTCACCGCTCCTCTTCCGGCAGCTGCGACCAGTTCCAGTGGCACATATGACCAGGAAAAGCGTCTTGAGATCGAGCTTGAACTCCTTGGCGAGATGATTGTCGCGAGGAGGGACAGATTGGCGGGTTTGAGAATGACGCATTCGGGGGAGGTTTTGGAGAAGCTTGAACAGGACTCGTAATATCTACCTGCCTAGGTAGATATGCATTTTCCAAGTTCATCAGGTAGCGGAAAGCCGCACTTCCCAAACAGGAAAGGGGGCCATCTGACTCTCCCCGGACCAGGGTTCATTCCACCCTTGAGTGGTCTGCAAAGTTCAGGGGACTAATGTCTTTTCTCCAAGCCCCAGCTGTTGTCAACATGCTATCACTTGCACTTTCGAACCGAGTCAACCAAATCCCACTCTGGGCCCTCATCCATGTACTGCTCAAGATGGAGGAAGCGGGCGTGGAATTTTTTCGGAGAAGCGTTCAGGGAATGTCTAATCCTTCAACGTTCATTGTATGGAACCGTACGCCTCGTCATAGGGAGTACCACGTTGTTCTTCTACAATTTTTTTTTGCCTGCTGCCCTCGGTTTTGTAATCCTATTCCTCGTGGTAGCCAGTGGGTTCGGACGCCTTCCAAATGGCGAATAGCCAGATTTCGGCGACGGGGGGGACAAAGAAGAAAGGCGATAAGAACAGGGCTCGGGTTAGTATCGAATATTGTCTAGAGGCTGGCGAGATTTCGTTTTGCTTTCGAAATCGCGAGGGAAATTGGTGTCATGTTCTGCCGCTGGAGGGTATGGGATACTAAGCGGTGACACACGGACGGGTCCCTTTTGCTCTGTTGCCCTGGAAGTCTTTCGTTCATGGAATGTGTGTTCAGGGAGGTTATTGGATACTTCATTGAAGAGCCCCTGCGTTGTTGGGTCACCTTCGAGAGTGATCAGCAATATTTCAAGATCAAGCTACGCTATACAGAAAGAGGAGCCCGGTGCCATGTTTTGTTTTGTAACAGCCGCGTCAGACCAAGGCCATCGATCGCTGTTCAATATTTTGGATTGATAATCTATGATGTCCCTGAACTATATACTATCAACAAAATATATGATACAAGTGAAAAGGATGGGCATGAAATGGTTTCCCTGTCCATTTTGCATCCATATGCCACCCCAAAAAGGCATCACGAGTGACTGGGTAGACCCATCCGCCCTTTTTATCATACTGTAACTCCAAGAAAACCGAAGCTTCCTACAGTGGCGTGCAAGTCTGTTATTCCCATTAGCAGGCTGAATATAGCAAATCATGCCTGGGAGATATCCCATTACGGTTGCTAGGTACTTACACCACTGGAACCGCAAGTAAGTCCCTCGCAGCAGCATCCCACAGCGGCACAGTTAGCAGCTGTGCAAGCCATAGTGTTCTAGTACTGTCATTAGGAACTGTCCCTCCGCATTCTCTTGTTCACAGCTATCGAGAAAACTCACAGATTGACAAACAAGTGCGACCTTGGGGTATGCCCCAGGGAGCGCAACGGCGAGAGTGGCGAGGAAGCCGAGGATGATAACGGAGGCGCGCATTTTGAATTTGTGGAAACTGGAAAGACTTTGAAATGGGGTATCTAGGAATTGAGACAAAGCCCAAGTCAGCGACCGAGTCAGGTGCAATAGTAGAATACAACACACGGTGAAAACGCCGCAATATGCGGCGTTTAGACCGGATGCAAGGGCAAGGAAACGGTGTAAAACAAACATGGATTCAGAAATAGCTATATTCTAGAAAAATGGCGAAATCAAGACTGGTAGGTTGATATGGAGACCAGGAAAGGAATAGCGAACGCAAATTAGGCCCCGCCAACATTTTATAGCTCACAGGCGTGGAGCACAGCAATGACACACGCCACACACCGACGCGAAGATCTATCATTGTCTCGCCTAAAACAGGGCTATTGGGGGATCTACAGGGGCAGCTGTGGGATCGATCGGCACTGATTGGATGATGGCTGGGGGCCGCCTTGTCGTTCTCGCAGGCGGGTGTCCTGCAGCGGGGAACTGCTCGCGTCAGTGGATGCAACATCCGAGTACATACGACGTTGTTTGATCATGTCTGATTAATTAAGGTTCACTTCATAAGAGGCTGCTTTTGCCTCCTGCTATACACAGCTGGAAATGCTCTGTAGAGCAAACACATCGACCAGGCTACCTGCTGACTTCATTTTAAGGAGTATGAAGTCATTGATAGTGGCGGATGGAAAAGCCCTTCTGCACTTGTGCAACTTGGACCATGAAAATGATCTATAGCTGGCGCTGTGCTCGTGGTTCGAAGGACACAAGCCTCCCGCATCCCAGGTGTGACTTGGATGAGGCTGTTAGCAATGCGGCTGGCAATGTCACCAGCCGTCTGGTGTCGTAATTGAAAGGGGTCCACGGTGGTGCAACCTGAGACTTGCGTTCCTGCAGGCTTGGCGGTGATACACGGAGGTTGCATGGGCTCCCCAGATGGGAAGGGATATACTGCGTAGTGGGTCGTGGTGGCTAGAGGGCTGGGGGCTACGACACTGCGGTGGGAGGCTTTATGAGATGCCATTTAGGGAGATGGACGTCAATTTGGAATGGGCGAGACATCATAAGCAACAAGCAGTTGACATGGTAGACGTGATACATCATGGGCATGAAAGGCAGACGCCTTGGGGCTCAGGCATTGAAGGTGAGATGGGATCGGAATATCTCAGCTCCGAGAACCCAAAATAGAAGCACACCGTTGTACATATCACAATCGGATTGTCTTGTAGACTATCGTTAGTCTAAGACTCTTTTGGCTAATATTGGAGATTTGAAAGCCTCCGGTCCGATGAGAGATGGGCAGCCCCTGGAAGTTTCCGTTCCTTGGAATATTAAACAGGAGCCTTCTGATGGAGTAGCATTGCCCCGGCCAGCGGTTCGGGAAGCGGGTACTAGTGGGAACGAGGTCTAGTGGTTCCCTTCTGGGATTATGATTGGCTTGAAGTCTGCACAGACTTCATGGCACAAGGCTTGGCAGAGCCTGGAAATAGTGGCGTCGTCTTTTATGCAAAATTCCAACTTCAAGCAACCAACCCCCTAACACCCCTTTGAAAAGGGACTTTGGTCGTCTAAATGTTGGCAATACAAACCAGACTGGTCGTCAGATCTTCACCAAGAGCATGGCCAGACCGTGGAACTTGTTGGGTATGGAGCTGATTGTGCTGCTTTAATCTACATGGCTACCAGTAAGTGCTCTTAATTCCTTCTTTTCTTCTTATCCAAGACTTCAACATCGATACAGCCTAAGGAACGATCTACATGGAATTCGCCGTCTTCCTGAGTTTCGTTGAAGAAAGTTCCATAGGGTCCTAGAGCACCTCCGGCCTGTCTTTCCTTAGGATGATGATCGGGCAAATCATCGGATGCGCATTTGCAATACTCGACAACGGCCGGAATAAGAAACTAGCCGATCGTACAGCCTACAGACGCCCGCCCCCAAAGCTTGGCTTATTCCGGCGAGAGTCGGAGCAGCTACCCTTCCTGTCGGACTAAATTGGTTCACCTAGGCGAACTTCCCACACGTCCATGGATCGTCTGTGAGACTAGAACGGTCCTTTTTGGGTTCTCCCAAGTGTCCATCTTCTTGAGCGTGGTTAAATCAAACTTGGTTGTCATCTTCCAGACTATAAGGTTGTCTCATGAACCCAATTCGGTTGTTAGTGATGGGTGCCAATGACGGAGAGCGCTATCATTGCCATGACAGCAACTAAACAGCTTCAGCAGGACCAAAAAAATTACAGAAGAGGTCACTTTAATTATAAAACGAAAAAGGTAAGATTTAGAGTGACTGTCAATTTATCTTAAGATGGTATCTTTGACTTGTGGAGAGATAACCTTGAATAGACTGGAATGTTTTGTCTACTAACCTAGGATAAATTATAAGCCCCACGGCTAGCTAATTATAAGTAGCTCCTGATGATAAAACTAACCTTTCAGTCTAGAAAGCAGGTCTCAATTTCTGCTACCCTCGGCGTTGGATTTCGAAAGGGTCATCCGTTGCTAGGCGGAGATCCTAGGCACACAATAGGCTACATTGCACTAGTTCCGTAAGGAGATCTAGGTGGGGACACACCGCTGGCCTATCTTCTTTCTTCCAAGGACTGGTCTACCAGGCATAGCGAATAAGCTTTCTGTGAGCAGGGATGATAATCATTATAGTACAGCAGGCTTCAGCCATGGAATTTGGCAGACATACCAAATGGTACCGTTTTTAAGTCCTCAACCCCTCTTCCGGTTGATGCTTGTGCTGATGGAGGGAAGGAAAAAGAGAAAAAGGCGAAGTCCATTTGGTTAGTGGAAAGTAGTTGGCCCGTAGCAGTTTTTCTTGATCTTGGGCGGAAGTATCACGGTTCTGAGACCACGTACATCACTTGACCTACTATACGGGGTAAGTCGGTTCTTCCCGTCTATTAAATTTTTGAGGCATCGTTCTAGGCACTGAACCTGAAGTTCTGGAAACTTCAAATCCGTGCCTTGCGAACCTCGCATAAGTTTCAAATAGAATGAAAGAAAGATTTTATAGCTTAATGTCTGTGAAGGAGTCGGGCTATCTTGCTGAAGGATTTCTTTGAACACAGAGGTGCGGGGATCTGGCAGTCACGTTTAAAATTTAGATGTGACTTGATCCTCAGGCAGTTCATAGATGCAGATTTTTCCTTTTATGATCAAATTGATCCACTTAATCGAGTCATGGAGTAGACCGATAATTTCACATCAGCGACCGTCCACTTTGCACTGCAGACACTGATAGTGCCCCTTCCAAGCGTTTTCTCACACTTGTTTGACAAAACAGAGAGCGTAGGAGGTAGTGGTCTCGATAGATTCAACCCAACTCAGAAATCTCGGGTGCAAAGTCGAAGGGAAAGCTATTCTAGCCAAATAAGATATGGTCACTGAAAGAGTCTATAAGGGTAGGAATAGGATCAAGGCATGTGTTTGACCTGTTGAGGGGAGACACAAAAAGTTCCTGGGCCACCACCATTAGGGGAGAGAGAGGAAGAAGAACCACTACCTCTTCAAACAAGCAAAAGCAGAGTTTTAACAAACTGGAAACCCATCCCAAGATGCTCAGTCGACTAGCAAACAGCCATCTATGGGATGATCCAGCAATAGGAATAGTCTAATGGACGGAGGTTTACTCATAGTGTTCCTATTCTATATGTAGAAAGGCCTATAGAGCCTCCGATGGTAAATAGACACATGTACACACGTGGAGGGGGTTTCACAATGTGATTACATTGTGAGTAAGTGGTTCAAAATAGCCTTGGCGGTCTACACCAAACAGTTCTCACCTGTATCTAAGCACACAGGGCCAGGTTGCATGAACGCTAATAGTGACCGGGGTATTCTGCCAACACATCGGGATTTCAGACAAGATACGGAGATAGCAAGATTGGATCTTGGTTTATTGGTCCTTAATGCAGATTAAGTTTGCTTTTATCATGATTTCGAAAGAAAAGAGTAATTGCCCCCCTACGAAGATTCATTTCGACTTCAAAGTTGAAAAGTTAGTGCCCCCTATTTTTTTTTTGCTTTTTGAAAAAAAAAAAAACTAGCGTGTAATGGTGGTGTATGTATGGAGTGCACCACCCCTCCTTTCAACCAACCCCCTTTTCTATATGCCCCCTTTTGCTACCATATGCATTTTTACGATTACCATCTACCACCATGGGCCACGATATTGCTAAACGTGCGATTGTAGTAACTTGCAAAGCTACTGGGCTTAGCACTGCTACTGTTTCAGAGCTATCTGGCCTTTCGACACGCACCGTCAACCGCATATATGAAAGAGCCCTTGCAAATGGCTTTAACCCAAACTCGCGTCCTTGGAACATTTCTGATGCTATGCTAGCTGACGCTCCTCGCTCCGGGAGGCCGAAAAAGCAGACGTTAGATGTGCAAACTCAGGTGCTTTCGAAAGTGCAAACTGACGAGAACGGCCGCGGAAAAACCTGCGCTGATATTGCTGGAGAAATGAGCCTCGAAGGACATGACATTTCCTCAACTACGGTCTGGCGGATCCTGAAAAAGGCCGAATCACAAAAAGCCCAATCCCAAAAAGTCGAATCACAAAAGGCGGCGTCCCCTGGAAGCCCAGTTTAATAAACGCTATGCGCGAGTATGTGCGAGGCTAGGCTAGCTTAGTGTCTTTGAACATCGAGATTCGAGATTGGACCATGGAAGATTGGGGGAAAAGGTTATTTGGACTGATGAGACTTCTGTTATTTTACCTCGTCGATGCAGAGAATACCGATCCAACCTATGAAAGATACGAGCATCAGTGGATCTCTGTACTTTGTAATTAGCTGAGTCTATATATGAAAAGGTACATTTGGGATGTATTGAGGCATGCACCGATCACACCTCGCATGTGGTGATGACAACGTGGACTTCTTAGGACGGCAGCATGCAGGTTTTATTGGACTACAATTTATTTGGCCAGTGAATGCTTTGGAATGTTAACATTTAATACATCTGAATACACCAATTTCATACTAGGTTTAAGATTTAAGTTCAACTCTCATCGAATCTGTCATGGATTTATGCTTAAATTCTCAAAATCTAACATTTTACTTCTAATTCCTAGTGCCTTATTTCCTGACGCCGGAATGTTTGGACATTTCAAAGTATAGTTTACTAACTCATACTTGACTTCTCTTTTTTCTACGCTTCTGTTTTAGAGTTGCTAAAAAGTCTATCACACAATGTATGCTTTTTTTGCCGCATTTTCAAAGAACAGCCAAAGGAAGATCACACGAATAGAAGGCCGACCACTCCAAGTAAAAGATCTACTTAGATGTTATACTTGCATTTTAAATTTTCATCTTCTAATCCTTGAGTGGCTCAATGGAAGAGATCAGGGGGCATAGGAGCGGACTCAGTCACCTGAATTCAACTAGATTTGTCTTTCTCGTACAAAATGCTTCATGGATCACCCACAGTAGTCTAACAACTGCCATTATCATAATGAGATTTCATGTATTATGATAGAATCTATGAGGCACCAGAATAGGCATGAAACCTTGGGTTTGCTGGTGGAGTGTCAAAGGTTGAGCCAGAAACGACGTGAACGATACTCATAAAGACTCATATGAAGGCCATCACAGGCCGTAAATATTGAACTCCAGCCAGATAATAAGTTTCAAAATAGCTTATTACCAAAATGTTGACAGTATATAGACCAAGAAGATTTGGGGATAGGATTATAGAAATTAGACACATAAATACTAGCAAAGGTCGTCGCGGAGTACTACTAATTAAACCTTACAAGGGGTGAGCTTTTTCAACTCATTGTCGACCAGCTTGTCCGAGGCATGATTGGCCCTCTTAATTCTCAATATAGTGGGAATAGCCACTAGCAGATTCCTCATACTGAGATCCTAGTTTATAGCAAACTGTGTCAATAGATTGATTCCGTCAGCGTAGATTCTTTAGGCTATGGTACCAACGCGCCGGCTTTTAAGCCGATTGTACCTTAACAATTAACGGCAGTAATTGTAGGATTGTTCGACCGAGCCACTATAGCCCAGTAGCAAAATATCTACTAGAAGGAATCGTATACCCCGAATCAAAAGTACAAAAATATTCTGCCTAGAAACTTACTCCTGTCCACATAATCAATCTTCTATTTTTAAGCTCTACTTTAGACATTGGTCGTTCTAGATCTAGAATTGATATTCGCGGCCCTAAATAACTATTCTAGCAAAACTTAGAATTCTCTAGCCAAGTTTCGCTCGTATACGGTGATTGAAGTGAGGAAGGTCAAGTAGAGAGCCTATTAAGAGCCTACTCAAGCAATCTAGTATTGGGACGCTATCAAGGGAGCGAGTAGGGAGGTTAAAGGCCAAGCTATTTAAATCATTCTGTTGATACAAGTTAAAGAGATTTTCGCATTTATACATCGAGTGTGAACATAGATTCTTCCACTTGAGGGCCTTGGACTCCTGCACGATATGACCACTAAAATGCTTGTCCGATAAATTTGGTGGATCACATTAGTACTAAGAGTAAACATCCTAAAAGCGTGATCACGATATACGCGATATAGGATTCACTCCGTCACTATGTCAGAACTGGAGTGGTAGTTGATACCGAAACTAGCCAGCAAGCCATTAGCCCCGCCTGGGTTGAAATCACCTAAAATACACCAATTGCTCGTCCGCGATCACGAAGGGATTGCCGCCGGCCACTGGGTCTGAGTTCAGCAATGCACCTGCGTAGAGAGCGCACTTCCGCCATCCAATCAGTAGGGAGTGGCGCGGCTCTAGATATTTCTAGAGGACTCCGACGATGAAGAGTGCCGTTCCAGCTGTGCATGCGAGCGTGGCGACGTTTGCGTTGACTAAGACTGTGCTGTCAACCTGACCCGAACCTCCCATGCCAGTCAGGGTAATGTAAATTCCCAGATTAGAGAAGGAGATAAAGGATACCAGACTAATCTGGAACCACGGGTCTTGGTGAACTTTTGAAACTCGGCTCTTTGGGGGCGATAAAGTGACATAGCTGTCACTGGGGTTTCTGGCGAGATGGCCTCCCGGGCAGACTTTGGTGTGTTCATGGTGTGTTAACAAACACTGTTCAGGTGATCATCGGCAGGGTATTGAGCAGGCCAACTGCTTTGTCTACATTCATACCTTCCTATACATGATCATAGCCTCTGTACCTTGGGGCTACCTGATATTCTACATACTGGCAATCCTTCGATTCAGTCACTCTCCGTTAACCCCTGGCGTCTGAAAATTATTATGCTACACTTGATCAAAGGCAGTAAATTGTCTCGGAGCTAAGCCGACAGCTAGCGCCGTTGAGATCAGGCCCACTTCTCCACAAACCCCCGGAATATCCCGAGATACTCCGCATGGGATAGCGAGATGCCGTAGAAGAGAAAGACGGACTGATGTCTGGAATTTCATGAAAACACCAATACATTCATATACTCCCACCTAATCATCGCGATCGCCAGTGCCTGGTTCCATTGCGTCGTGTTCTTCATCACTGAACTCGCGCATCCGTCGCGTCGCACACTCTCTAGTAGTGTGACCTGATACTCCCTAACCCTGGTCCTCGATAAAATCAGGTTAACCGCGTCAACAGAACAGACCCTCATAAATGGCTTCATCCAGCTCTGGAACCTAATAATGACCATGGGAGGCGCATGTCTTGTCGACTGTGCTGGTCACCATGAGCTGCTGGGTCGCTTCACGACGACGGGTACTAGCGCCGTAGGAACAGTTGTGACGAGATTGCTGTTACGCCACTGCTCCTGACGCACCAGGCCGAGATTTGGAATACCTCGCTGCGTGCTAAGGGTGTTGCTATCTGCGCGATCTCTAATTATTCAACGCTGGTTTTCAGTCGGCGCAATAACCCCAATGCGCTTAAGAGGGGTTTCTTGCAGAGTTTCTTTTGTGCTTTTGGTGGTGCTGCTTGTGGTTTTGGGGGATTTTTTTTGGAAGACTTATTCTGAGACCATGAGGAGGTCGCGTGCAGGCCTTGCTTTTGATTTTCCTTGCGAAGAGGCGCGTGTCAATGGGTGCTGATGCCAAGGTGGTGGCGTAGAAAGGGCATTATAAGATGACTAGACATCCATCATAGATGTTTGACGTGATACGTACGGAAAAATGAAAAACACATCGAGACCATAAAATACATCAATCGTAGAATCGAGGTAAGAATTACCACCTCCGCCGAAGTAAAAAAGTAACACAACTGTTCTTGAAGCAAACTACTTCGGGTTGTACTTGTCTTTCCAGATCCTATAGTACTCGTTAGATGAATCCCCAGACCCTCAGTTAGTTGAACGTACCAGGAGTTCCCAAGAGTAGGGCACCCATTCTCCTCGGCAAGTCTGTAATACTTAGCCGCTTTGAACTATAGCCACGTCGAGTCAGAACAAGGAAAAATGTGCACATGAGCGGAAATAACACATACCTTGTCCTTCTTACCCCCAAATCCCTCAAGATAGCACCAGCCCGCTTCATTCATGGCATCGGTGTCACCCAAATTCGCAGCAGTCTCGTAGTACTGCCTAGCAGCAGGAGGGTCTTTTGCTATACCCCACCCGTTCCGGAAGCAGTTGGCCAACTCGAACATGGCCAAAACGAGCTCGCCTTTTGCAACCCCTCCTTTCTTGACGCCGGCACGGAGGGCCTCCGCTTCGACCGCGGCGGAATTGGATGCTGCGGCAGAGAGATAGGCTACAGCACGTGCGGGATCTACAGGGCAGCCCCATCCATGTCTAGAGATTCTCAGTATTTAGAAACTAGACAAGTAGCTAGGCACGGTCGTACCGTAGTGCGAGGCCATAAAGAACCTGACTCAAGGGATTGTTTGCGCCATTTGGATCGGCAAGTTGTCCGAACATGTGAGTTGACCGCTCGAGATCTGGAAACAAGGTCAATCAACATATATTTCCAGCCAACGTGAAATTCAATGCTCACCACCAGCTTCATGCAGCCGAATAGCCTCTTGGATATTAATCTATAATTCGTCAGTCCAAAAATTCGCTGACAAAGAGAGCCGCCACAAAAAGAACAGAAGCAACAAGCACCTACATCTTCATTCGGATCCATGCCAACCCGAGTCTGGCTCGAGCTCCTCGATCTAGTCTGCTCCAGCCCCGGTCCCAAGCTCAGTGACGCTTCTCCTTCGCCCTGCCGCCCCGGCAAGGACGAACCAGATTGTGCAAACTGCGGATTCTGCTGCACAAGCACAGTAGCCCTAGCCTCCCACAACGCCTCACGCTCCTGCTTGCTCGTACCGCGATCATCATCTATCTGAGGCAGGTCCGCGGGAATATTAGCGGAGGAATCACGCGATCCACTGCGACTGCGGGAGTCGAGATGGAGGAGGTTTGAGAGACGGTGCTCACGACGTGGCGGGGATTGCGAGGATGGAGAGGAGGGTCTTGGGGAGCGGCTGAAGAGCTGGAAGCTCCGGCGCGGAGAAGTGGACTCTTCTTGAGTTGGTGATGATAGGTATGGGGACGGGTCATGTGGGTTAGATGGAGGGATGATTATCTCTCGGGTATGGGTGTCTGTACGGATGAGCATCAACTTGGGTGCCTGGGGTGTTGCTGCTGCATTTTGGGGTGGCTGGGTTGTGCTGAGGTCGTCGCATTTGTGGAGGATGGTGCGTAGTGAGGGCATGATGCGCATCTACTTCTCGAATAGCGATCTAGGACTTTTCGTGTGTGTGATAGTTGGATGTAAGATTAGGTGTGAGGAAGGTGTCAGATTTACTTGTAGGACTGAGGATGAGTGAAATTAAAAGAAATGGACAATGAATGGACAGTGGCTGGGGTAGGGCGGCTGTCCACGGGCTGATGACTAGGGTCCGGGGTCTTGGCCAGTGGCTGGTATCCCGTGTGCGCACAATTGAAGAGACTAGTTACTTAAACTGCTTAAAATACTTAGATATCCCAGGGACATGTGCATCGACACATGCCATGACATAGAATTCCCCATATACATCAAACCTAAGTATAGATAGATGTCTTATCGCATGCTCCACGGCCCCCGATGGCGTGCTGCATTAGACCCTGCATGACATAGGGCGCCTCGGGTATCTGGACTCAGCATTTGCCCCGGGGGATTAAATAGCCAGTGTTTACTTGCCTACATAGCTATATATTGGTACTACACACATCCGTTCAAATGGGCACTCTTGGGGATCTCTTTGTATCGTATTCTGGTCAAAGTGTTCTACGATGAAACTGGCCCAAACAGATTCATATGCCAGACATCAGCCGGCGGGTATTTCCAAACCCAACTCGCTTGAGAACATGCCTTGAAACCATGTGTCGGATGGTAGAGTGAGAATCAAAATGGTATTGCAAGGTCTAACTCGGCAGATGCAAATAGCCCTTATAGTTTTGTACACAATGCCGAATGCAGAGAGCTACTAAGCCCATTTACAGGGCCTTGGACGCCATGATGCCTGGAAACCGTTAGCACACTTCCGTCTACAGGTCAATTAGTTGATAACTCACGCTCAACATCAACAACGCTCTGCTGGAGGATCTGCTGGAGAACCTTGGGGCTCTCAAGCTCCTTCTGGATCTTGGCAATGACGGACTCGGCAAGCTCACGCTGCTGGCGCTGCTTGACCTGGTTCTCGTAACGCACCCAAGAGTCGAGGACTTGCTTAGCATGGGCGGCGAGGTCAGTGCGCTGCTGGAGCTCGTAGGCCTGGGACTCGAGCTGGGCGGTTTCCTGAAACAGATTGTCAACAACTGATCCAAGTTTCAACATACTCGACCGAGCATTCCTACCTTGGAAACAGCGAAGAGCTGTTTGGTAATCTCAACAACGCCAGACATCTGGGAAACGCTGTCGATGCGCTGCTGAACAGCGTTGGTGTGGTCGGCACGGGCAGCATTTAAGATGTCCTTGTGCTTCTTGACCTGACCCTCGGCCCACTCGCGGTAGGCGGGACCACCGTATTTGCCAACAGCGGTGAAGACAGACAGCAGACAGAAAGCAGCGACGGTCTCCTCGTTCATGACGTACAGCTCGTTGCTGATGGCGGCGATGGACAGACCGGCGGCGGCAGACAGGGTTGCGGTCTTAGTGACCAGGGAGTTGCCGGGGATAGCGTTCAGGATCGACTGCGCCTTCTTGGAGGGCTCCTCGGCGGGAACGTTGGAGGCCTGACGAGAGGAGGTCAGGTTGGCAGTGACGGCAGGGACACCACGGGCGGGAAGAGCCGGCCGAAGTCGGGATGCGCCTATGGTGAGTTAGTAATTGAAGGCATCGAATCGATCAGACGGTCGAGGTTCGTAAAAAGCGTACCAATGGCGCTCTTAGCAAGACGCGAAGCCATTGTTACAGATGGAAGAATCTTGGTCAATGGGATGGGTGAACGGAATTGAGCAGACTTGAGGTTCGGGATGGCTAGGAGGTGAAGACGCTAGCCGTTTCGGGCGGCAGTTCCGGTTCATCGGAAAAACTAGAATCCGAGATGGTCCAAACGATAAAAAAAAAGTTGCAGATGAACTGCTCACGGTACATTACAAGACGCCTGCCCAACATGCCTGCCCTTGTTACGGATTCAAGCTCTAAGAAGCGCAAGAGCGGCAAGAATGCCAGCGGCCCATCCTCCAAACGCCGCGCTGTCGCCGAGAACAATTTTGCCGAGAAACTGTCTACTATTCAAGAACTAGAAAATCAGATTGCGGAGTCACGGAAGGGCTACAATAACATTGCGACCCTGCTCTCCATGCTCAATGTGGAGAAGTCGGCCGAGAAACCTGAGATGGCTGTGGCCGTCTCTCTCTGCCGTGTGTTCAGTCGATTGATCGCCGGAGGAAATTTGACCGAGTCAAGCCGCGCCGCCGAGAACGAGAAAATCATTGTGGCCTGGTTAAAGGAACGTTGCCTAGATTATCAGAATGCTCTTGTGGCTATCATGCGTGAGGCAGATGCTTCCTCTCAGGTATGTGTGTTCTGATCTGGTGGTGGTTACTTACCACTGACGAGCTCTAGATCGCTGCTCTGACGCTGAGCATGCGCATTGTCAAGGAACGCCTTGCCCATATTCCCGGTGCCGAGAATAATGTTTGGTCGACGGGTTTCTTCAAGGATATTTTTGCGGCCATCATCGAGGCAAATAACGGCCAGGATCTGCAGACCGAAGCCGTTGCAAAGTTCGTGAAGGAGTATGAGGATGTGAGATATTACACTTTTGCGCAGATGGTGTATGTAAATCCCTTTCCTACTGTCGAGTCTCGTGGCTAACTAATGCTAGTGACTATGCCTCTATGAAACGAACTCCCGAGGTCCTTGAAATCCTGATTAAGATCCTTCAGACCTGCGACGAGGTACCTGGACCGGAACACAAGTTCGAAAACTTCTACGCGAAACGAGACACCAAGAATAAGCGCCTAGTTTCGGCAAACTCCCACAGGAAGCAGGCGCAGGAGGCATGGCTGGCTGTTCTACGAAACAACCTCTCGCAATCGCAGCGCAAAAACCTGCTGCGCATGATGGTGCACAATATTGAACCGTGGTTCAACCGACCGGAACTGCTGATGGACTTTTTGACGGACTCATACAATGTCGGTGGTGCGACGTCCCTCCTCGCACTGTCTGGTCTCTTCTACCTGATCCAGGAAAAGAACCTTGACTACCCTCAGTTTTATGCGAAGCTGTACTCTCTCCTGGATTCCGAGCTGCTGCACTCAAAGCACAGGTCACGATTCTTCCGACTGCTGAACACCTTCTTGTCCTCAACCCATCTTCCATCCACTTTGGTGGCCAGCTTCATCAAGCGTCTCGCTCGTCTTGCGCTGAACGCGCCTCCCTCGGCTATTGTAGTGATCGTTCCTTTCATGTACAATTTTTTCAAAAACCATCCTACGACTACATTCATGATGCACCGATCTATTCGGGATAAGGATGAGCTCGCACTAGTGGAGAAAGAAGGCATGGACGATCCGTTCGATCCAAACGAGACAGACCCCAACATGACAAACGCCATTGAGAGCAGTCTATGGGAGATCGAAACTCTCCAGTCCCACTTCCACCCCAATGTTGCGGCCATTGCACGAATCATCTCAGAGCAGTTCACAAAGCAATCATACAGTCTGGAGGATTTCCTTGATCACACATACGCGGGCATGGTAACTGCAGATCTTGGAGCGGAAGAGAGAAATCTCAAGAAGATACCTGTCGTTGAGTATCAGATTCCCAAGCGTATCTTCACAGATCGTCTCCTAGCGGAAGATGGTGGCGTGGACTCTGGTCCAGGGTGTTTTATGCGTGATTTGTGGGAGTTCTAAGGGTTCATATATCAGCGTATACCAAATTAATCTGTTTGACAACGAAATCTGAAACGCCTAGACGATGCGCGACATTGTCGTAGTTCCCTGCCCGGTAGAGAAATGACTATCTATCAACATATCCGTTGCTGCAAGTCTAACACTAGATGTCTTAATGCTGGAAGTGAATGTTGGATATGGGCCTCGCAGCAATTGTTACAAAATTACCCCAATAGGCAAATTGATGAAAGCTGTAACGTACTTGACATGTCTTGGGGCTCATTACTGCTCTACACCAATAACAAGTGAAGCTAGAATGGCACTGCGACCAGTCTAGCCCCTACCTGCGTCGTATAGATCTACGCCAGATTCATACAACTTGTGGCCCGCCGCACTCGATTGTTTTCATTCCAACTCGTTTCAATTTGATCCGCATAATTTCGCAATTGCTATCTCTGTCCATATATATAGAGCACATACCCTTGGATTCTATCAAGATAACCATTTCACTGGCCTGAAGGCTGGGGAAACATTTGGTATTTTTCTTGCCATGTATAGATGACGATCAAGTTACCCCAACCTCCAGATTACATCACTAAGCCATATGGCAACCCTTGGTATGAGATCCATGGCAGATCAAGGACCGAGAAATGCTTTATAGAAGCAAGAAATACTCTTGTTGTTCACTATTGACCGATCCTCACCAAAACAACCCGGAAAGGGATGGCATTCCAGCATGTCCCGGAGAGTCGTATAATCGGGCCACCATACTTGAGTCTTCTTATAGATGAGTTAAAAAGCCCTTTTCTGTATAGCCAAGTCATACTCATGGGCTCTTAGTAACTATTAGAAATTCAAAGCCTTGCCGTGGCTCCCCAGTCGGAACGATTGAGGATACTGAATGGCAGCAAGACCTCCATACTCTGGCCACGAAGACTGCTAAAGGTCCTCCAGGCAAAGCCGTGGAGTTGGTTTGCCCTGAGAATCTCCAATACTTAGCAGGCATTCCCCAGCAAAGGCAGATGCCATGCTTTCTTAGGTAGTGTAACGACGCTTCACTATTAGGGCTACCGGAATGCAACATTCTCAAACACCTTGGGTCACAGCGCTAGAATACCAACAACGGACTTTCAAGCTCATTTTTGTGAGGCTGGGAGAGGTCTAGGGAACTCGTGCCCTCAGTTAAGAAGCACGATGCGCCACTAATGATCTTCAGAGTTGCATCGCGTTCTCAGTTTCCAGTTCACCCAGTTCGCGAGAACCTCATATTTTCCAACTTCCCTTAGCCCGTCTTGAAAGTTACCCGTATATCGACTCTCCTCCATCACAATGCATTTCTCCAAAAGTGTTATTACCCTCACGGCTTCCCTAGTGTCCCTTGGTCTCGCTGCCGACCCTCTAATCTTCACTTCCTGGCCTCATGAACCCCTCGAACCTGGCAAGCCGGTTACCCTAACATGGACCGGCGCTGATCCTGGTCTGGTAATACGCACCTTCTCTGTTAGAATCATAACAAATCTAACTCCGTTTAGCCCGTAACTATTTTCCTTCGCCAAGGACCCTCGGGTGACCTCCAAGATGTCAAGCCCATCACTACCTCCAGTAAGGGTGACACCTTCACCTGGACTCCTGATAATGATATCAAACCCGGCAACACATACGCCTTCCAGATCACGCAGAAAGATCAGACCAATTACACTGCTCTTCTTAAGTCAGCTGGCAAGCCCGCTGCTGATGTTCCCGCAGCTAAGGATGCCAAACCTGAAACTGGAACTGCGGCTACTGCGACTACTGGCACCACCACCGGAACCACAACTAGTGTTGGTGCAGCTACTGGTACAAACATCGGCACCACAACTGGCACTAGTCCTGGTACTGCCACTGTTCCCACCACCGATACCACAACTGGTATTACCACCGACACTACCGAAACTACGTCCGCCCCTCACACCCAGATTATAGACGGTACAACCGAGACAACCCAAGCAACCCAGACCACAATGACCAGCACTGCCAGCAAGCCACTCATCAGCTCTGCTACTAACCCTTCTGGAAGCCCTTCCAGCTCCGCTGCTGCCAGGTCCACTGATAGCTCGAAAGCTACCGACACTGAGGTCTTCAATGGCAAGGAAGCATCCTCCACCGGAAGTATGCGCACCGGCGCTGCTTCCATCCCACAATTCTCCCTCCACTTGGTAATGGGTATTACCGGTCTCTTGGCCTACCTAGTCTAAACCATCCATCTGTTTCAGCGCTGTCAGTTTCATCTCTGGACTTGGTGTTTTGGTGGAGTCATGGAAAAGTGGTAAAACTTCCTGTATATAAAATACCCCTGGATATCATTGATATATAGGTGGCCTGTGTCGTTGAGGAAGTAATCAATTACATTAAGCAAACTCACTGCATTGGACAATTGCAAACCCAAGAAACCCCAAAAAATCCCCCAAAAACGACTTTGAAAGAAAAAGAAAAGGAAACAGGACCTGTCGTTCTTCACTAGCGCCGCTCCCTGACGGACGTGCAGTTGGAACATAAAGAGTGATCGACTGATCTTCTGCAATTTCAATCTTTCTTACCGCTACTCCATTGTTTTGGAATCTTCTGTAGCTTGTGCCCTTTTTTTTCAGGATCATTGATGATCATTGTTCATTGCATGAGACAGCGCCTTTATTGATCAGAGGCCTCCCTTGCGATGCCTAGATGGATAAGCGAAATCCAAAGACAACGATCTCACACCTAGCTCAATTAGCTTCTAATACTGGTACGAGTCTTCCCCTTCACAGGCCCAATGATTTACGCTCCCATCTTGTTTTTTTCTGGTTCTTCATGGCAGGCGCGGGCGGTCAACATGGGGGGCTTCAAACGGGTTATGAAGCGTCTCAGCCCTAGCAAAAATCTTATGCCGATTGCTGCTGACCCCCCTATCTGTGCAGAAGCGCCACAAGTCAATCTCCCGCATGTGGACACGCAATTGAATATGCACCAGCACAACGGATTCCTCGACAACGAATCAGCCACCGAAGGCCAGTATGGTGGGTGTTTCTAATCTCACTCCCTCTACCCGCCAAGCTTACAATCCCCGCACTCCAGGAAACTACAGTCAGGCCTCCTCGTCTCCTCCGAACCCCCCGAACCCTTCCTCGCCCCCTGTCGACACGAATGGCGATGCTCCCACATCAGAATGGTCAGCAGTCGGCCATGCAGCGACAGGGAAATCAGGACGCGTTATCCACAATCTCCAGGAGGAAATAGCACGTTTAACGCGCGAATGCACGCTCTACAGGTCCCGCGCGGAGGAGTACCAAGAAACCAATGAAGCCTACAAGATCCAGCAACAAAACATGACGGAGCGCCTACGGAACCTAGAGCAAGTCAACGAGACCAGCCTCACCTCAATTGCACGAAAAGACCGAAAGCTTGAGGAACTGAGAGCGGAGCTCCAGCACGAGCGCAGCAAGCGACAGGGCATGGAAACAGACGCAAGCCAGATCAACGAGACGATGCGTGAGGAGCGAGAGAACCACAATCGCGAACAAGCCCGGTCACTAGAGATCGCCAAGCACTACGAGACGCAGTACGAGGTCCTATCCAACGCGATGAAACGCGACAAGGTGGAGTTAGAAAAACGCCTCAATACCATCTGGGCTGAGTTCACGACTATTGCCAACGCGCAGAAAACACATATACACCACACTGAGCGCCTAGAGGCTCTTGCAGATCAGAAGAAGAGGGAGTTCGACTCCCTCAAGGAATCTTATGAGAAGCTGCTCGCCCAGCACTCTGCATATAAGAAACTGAAGGAAAACGACTTCCGCAAAACGATTGAATCGGCCAAATCCAACAACGATTTGATCGCTGGTGTTCTGGCTCAGGTCAAGGAGACCGAGACGGACATGAAATGGGCGATCCGGCTCAACAAAAGTCGCCAAAGCACCGATTGATGAGAGCTTTGTCTTTGTTCATCGTCGGCTTTTGTTTTTGTCGGCTCCCATCCGTCAACTTCCAACCTTCGCCATGCGAAATCTCTATCAGCCCCTCCTCTTCTCTCTGCTCTCTGCTTGGATTTCTCCAAACATTCCGCCAGATTGATGCCAGACCGCCCTCCGATCACCTTTCTTTGTTCCGAATTCATCATTTCCACTCGCTCCCATTTCTTGATAATCCATCAACCACTACATTCCATTTCTCATAGACCATTCTTGGCCGGTGCATGGCGTTTCGTTTCCCTTTGCAGCAGATACCCGTGGCAGAGCTCAATTCCGTCGTGTGCCCTTCGATTTTTGCATTCTTGTTTCTACTCTTACTTTCACCTGCGTTTTCACCTGCAGTTTCACCTTCTTTCCCTGTTGTACTGTTACTCCCTTGTTAGATATGACGCTTGACGACCTGCATATTTTTACCTGGATGCGATTACACTGTGATGAACATGATGGCAAGTCTTGCTTCTTGCTCGTGTTCAACGTACCATTAAGGAGTGGTTACACATTTCCTTTCTGCCTAGATGGTATGGGGTGGTTATTATGCAACTCGGAAATTTATAATCATTTTAATTTTTGCTTGATCTGTTCTATCTGTTCTCCCGACCCCTAAATCGCTGTCATCCAATCTCATCATCTTGGACATAAGATAGCACCGCGCGTTCATCCTTGATTAGTCGCCACTGGCTTCCAAAGTTGATCGACGCGAGACACCGTGGTTGCTCCTTCCATGGCAAATCTTTGAACATTGTCGCGCCCACTATAAGCGTCAAATCTCTTTTGACTCTCTTATTTCACCTTTTCCTCCTTCATCTTCATCTCATATGCGCCGTTAACCACGATGTGCTTTATCAAATCGATTGTCTAAGCACTGTTCACCTTGTCCTTCTGTAATCGATTTGGCTTTACCTGCCTCTTACTTGATCGATTGTCTCCTTTCCCGGGGTCAATCAACCTACCTCTTGCTGAATTGCTTCTTTTACTCAAGTTTCAAACCAACCAACGTCTTCAAGTCCACTGAAGGTAGAGGCATTCCGTCTCTAATTCATTTGCATCCGTCCGACTAATATCAGTCTCCAACCGATTCGCGTCTGTCCCGATTCAATTTTCATCCCCGCAAGTCTGCATCGTCACACTTGTCTACTCACAGCTCTCCAAAAGAATAAACACCACCCAAGATGGTTCATAACAGGACACTTCATTTGGGTTCAATGTGGTCACTGGAGGACCAAGGTGTAAGTCTCTACCTTAACATCCACGTGCTTATCATTATTCACGGCCGGGACTGACCAGACTCGATATAGATCAGGGAACTTCGAGATAAGCTCAAGTACGGCATAGCGATTATGCATATTAAACCTGATCAGAACTGACAATTTCATAGGACATTGAATCCCGGTGCTTCGATCAAGGTCGAATATCTACGTGACAAACATGTGAGTTTTTGAGTAGAATTTACCATGGTGGCTCTACTAATCCTACCCAGATGTTGGTTGTCACTGGTCAGTTCGATGAGGAGTTCGATGTCGAAATCACATCGCTGCTTGCCAATTACATCGAAGAGCATCGCAATGATGATTTACTTGAGGTATGTCTCAATGGCCCTCTAGCATTTGGCTCACATTATACTTATTTCAGTTCCTCTGAAGATGCCGAGAGTTCGTCAACTTTCGATTTCGACCAACTTCGATCCCAATCCCTTTGCTGGTTACAGAAGCAATTCGCAGCCAGAGGAAGAAACCCTAGTGGAAGACATCATGCCGGCAAAACCTTCTAGCGATGGGCCAATTGTTAAGTTCTGGCATCCCTCACAGGTGGCATTGGGTTCAATTTCTCATGACTCGGAACCTCTCTTGAATCGCATTTCCGAAATGACGGAAACACAAATAGCAGTGCAGGGAGCCCAAGGGCTCCTTATTTCTGCAGAGCACATGGATAACATCGAAGAAGCAATGGAAATACTCGACTCCCTTGAAGAATGCTTGGTATATTCATAGTTCTTGCTTTTATTAGTCCACTATGTTAACATTCTCTAGGATCTCATTGAGAACCAAAACCGGGGACTCATCATTTTTACCCCAAGACGGGAAAGCGCTACTTATCGCGTCATGGAATATGCACAGATCAGTGCCACTGCCTTGTGGCGTATTTTGATGGACCGAAACGCCTCGCTTCGTTTTCCAAAGATAATGACTCTGGTGGTCTGTGAATTTGACGAGCTCGCTAATGAATTTCGTCCACTTCGCAAACTTCGACACCCACAGCAAGTGCTCCTGAAGGAGGTGAGTATAATTCGAGACTGGGACGACTATCATTTTCCAGAGATTGGTCCAAAAAACGATCCCCTCTTAGGGATGATTGATCAGCATCTCGCGCCTCAGAGTGAGACCTCTCAAGAGAATAGCGATGCTCAGCACCCCTATCTCTCTACAAGAAAGGTTAAAGATGTTGACAAATGGATCTCTCGGGGTTTCCCTAAACGGCCTTTAGCCACCGAAAGTCTTAAAAAAGGACCAATAGAAGCTGACCCAACCTCACCTGAGCTTGTTACATCCAAGCCTCCGGCTGATTATAGCGTTTCTGTTCCACGGGATCAGAGACAGCCTGGTCCGTTTGAGCCCAATCCCGCAGGCGTCAAAGGACGTGCTGTTATGCTACCAGATGGAACTGTAGCAACCTCTAGGCAGCATCGACAAGAAAATCCAATAGACACCCCTCGTGGCTCAAATCCCTCTCTGTTTAGCAGACTCAGCTACAGGGAGAGAATGAGGAACCACCAGGTAGCCGGTTTGTCTGCCTCAATCCCTCAACAAAAAGGATCCGCCAGCATTGTTCGTAGCGCAGCTGAATCTACTTCTCCAAATGAAGCTTCCAAAAAGTCGGAAACAATGTCTAAGGAAATCGACCCTGTGGCTTCTACCCATTCCACCACCTCAACTCAAGCACCAAATTCTAGTGCCACCCCTACTCTCCCGGTTTCATCCACACATCTGGGTGCAACACCCAAACAGTCAGGAGAAACTTCACGTGCTGAGTTGGATAGCCCTCCTGCCAATAAAGAAGAAAAGCCGACTGGCGCTCTGCGCCAACCAAACCGCTCTATTTCTCCAGGAGTTGACGGAGCCCAGCCTCTCAGCACATTTGAGACATTGAATTCACCGGTGAATATTAAACCTCAAGGGCGAAGTGTTGATTCAGTGATGGGGCAGATAAAGCTAATTCTTGAGACGGCCAAGATCACGAGCGAAACTCAAGTGGAGGAAGTGCCCAGCAAGCCAAAGATAACAGATCAAAATCACCCAAGCACCACATCCACTGCACCAGATTTCAGCACAGAGGACAAAGAGAACATTAGTCCCCTCATTGATCTTGATTGCGAAGTCAGAAGTCTAAATACTGGATTCCAACGCGTTGTTGCGTTTGATCCACTGGCTACAGTCTCATCAAGCGTTCCGGAACAGTCTAGAAATGCTCAGCATGGTCAATTTCAGCATAGCGAAACTGCCGTTTCTACTGAAACTGTTGATATCTTTGATACACCCAATATTGATAATAGAACTATTCAACCTCAGTTAAGTCGGAGCATCTCTCCTTGTCCTGAACCAACCCAAGATCCGATGATCCTCCGTGCAATGAGTCCAACCTCTGCTATTAGCGAGCCTCTCCAACCAATACTCGCTAAAATTAGGTCACTGCCCTACTCGGAGGTTACTGGCTCTTATGGTGAGAGCGACGTGTTGGAAGACAAACAGAAACCTGAACAGGCTCCTGAAATCCGCAGCAAGGCCGATGAGGTGGCACTAGAGTATCTGCTCAATCAGATTAAGGACAACCCTGCCCCAGAGATTCCTAGCATTGAAGAGATTTCCCTACCTCTCGATGCTACCTTTGATGAGCATGTACCTCGAGCTTCTGCTTCTATCTCGCGCAGCAGTGCTCCGCGCGAGAGTGTCCAGCATCAACAACCTGGCCAGGAAAGTGAGAGAGTGCTCTTTCTTCATCCAGACCTCATTGATATCTCACCTCAGATGCTATCTTCTCGCTCAAGGTGTGCTTCTTTGCAACAATCCGATCTTAAAAACGATGCGGAGACAGAATCCGGCGAAAAGCTGGCTGTCTCAGATGAAACCGAGAAAAGAGAATTCCGCGAGACAATGTTCCATCAGCGGCCTCCCGACAAGGCTTTTCAACGGGTGGATGAGGTGACCTTGGAAGTGAGAAGGGCAAAGATTGAAGTCCACACTGCTAATACCTGGCAGCGAAAGGAAGACACTGAAACCAGTGCAGAGAACAAAGAGGAGGTTAAAGCCCCCCTTCTTAATTTCTGGCAGCGAAGAACAGGATCCAAACCAACAGAAGCACAGCCACGAAAAATCGTTGCTTTGCCCACGAAGGTGGATGTGAAATTATCAAGAGAAAAGAAGCAAATTACTGACTCAATAGAGAGTTTGTTTAGCTTTCTCCAACCAGTCCTTGAGTCAGTTCGCAGCTTTCCCGGAACGCTGAGCTTTCAAATCCAATTTGGTCTCATGTTCATGCCCAGCCTGCCAGCTTCAACCAAAGAGAAGGAGATGAGCTACGGGGAGGTCCACCAGTTGTTTTTTTCTAGTAATGACTTGATACCGCCTCCAATCTCTCTCTTCGAGCGCTTGACTTCATCTCCTTCAGACATTGACTACCTCATCGATTTGGAGGCCAATCAATCTCGCCTGTTCGACCAAAGGTACAGCCACCGAGGCGTAAAGTACGAGTTCTGGTGCCGTGTTGGTCCGAATAGATCCATTGTTATCTCAGTTAATGAATATGGACATGCAATGATTCGCTATCCTGAGGTCTCCCTAGGCACGGTACACTTGAATTTCCCTTCACAAGTCTGGGATGCAGCTGCTAAGGTGCAGGGCTTTATCGAATACATTACGGGTGCTGACCCCGAGCTTGATGAAGCTGCACGAAATATGGCGAAAAGCATCCGGGTAGAGCCAAACAACACACAGCTTCGTATGCTGGTCCGTCTTCCGCCTGCGTCCAAAATCAAAATTGAGAAGGTGTTCATGGAACGGTGGAGCCTTCACCCCTCCCTGTCGGAAAAAAGCAAGCACTTGTTTCTCCAAATCAGCGAATCTCAAGAACTCCTTGCCATTCCCTCCATATTCGATCCAGGTATCATGGTTTTGCAGAACGCCCCGCTTGGCACAATGGTCAGAGATGGAAAGCAGTGGTGGCAAGCCTCGATTTTCAGCAGCAAAGTGAACGGCATACTGAAATCAAATTCTTTCATTGAACCTGGTGAGCGCAACGAGTCCTGGTGTGCAACAGATCTCCTCGGTACAGACATCACAAATATTTTCCCCCATACTGCGAACCAGGGGCTGAGTACTCTTGGAGCCGAAGTCGGTTACTCGGGAATTGGAGCAATGTTCCAACTTGGCAAAGCTGTCGTGCAGAAAATCGATGCCGTGGGTTTCTGGAACAGAGGTCCTGCTAGTGTTGAGCAGCGTACGAACACGTCGAAGGACCGCAGCAGCGCCGACACAGCTACTTTCAAGGAGTCGCCCGCTTCCTCGGTGAAACAATCAGTACCCTGGGTTTCAACGGCTGAATTTGAGGGAAAACACATGTGGTGATGAGGTGGGGAGGATCAAGACGGAATTAGGGGTAAGAAAGGAAATGGAACAGATTCATTCTTGCCTGTCGTTTGATTCCTGGGTTCATATGTGTACCCGGACGATATGAAGTTGCATTTGAGCTAACACCAAGATGATAAAACATTTTTTGATATTTAAAGAATCGCCCTGTGGTTAATGAGCTTATTTAGATCGGCCCTTTGCTCCGTAGAAGACTTTGAAATGTAGAAATGCGTCCATGGCCACGGCCCGCACGGTCTACTGCTATCCCTGCCGTTAGCCATGCATGTTTCCAAGCTCCCATTGACTTTAGAAAGCTTGACTTCCCCCTTCCTAATTAGTTATAACCTATGAATTTTTAGCTACATACCCTTACCCTTCTCATGCATAGCATTTGCGAGCCTTGCCCTGATACCCAGGCTGTCATTCAGTGCGAGGCAAAGAAGCTGGCGTCAGAATGTCCTGCGCTATGCTTTTTCCTCCATCCCACCATCAAATCCCACTCCAAAATTCATCATTCAAAAGGACGAATGAACTCACTCACCTTCTCAATTCACTCCGGTGCAGACACTTTTTCCAGCGTCCAAGTCAACGATGCCGACCAAATCGAGCGACATCTCCACGAAGACGGCCAGCGCGCCTAGGGCTCTGTTATCTAACGGTGTAGATAAAATTGCAACACAGCCTGAGACAAACTTATGCATTGTCTACTCGCCAACACCGAGGAGACGATAGAAGAGAGAGGGGGTGTCGGTTTACTTGATAGTCTGGCCCTCATTGTGTCGAAGGCTCCGGGAAGTTTGAAGGGGATACTACGACGCTAGTTCATCAGATTAGAGCTAAAATGTATTTTCACAACACGAGTGAACTAATCTTTTGCCTCTACGAAGGCACATAACTCCGGAGCCACACAATTTCTCGTCGTGCTGCTATCTCTATCTCTAGCATCGATTTCTACGACAAACTCTCTGACGCTCGTTATAAGCGATGTCGTGGTGCTTATTTTAAAACTGCCATTTTTGCTCCTCTGTGAAGGTATTGTAGGATTCACCCAACGCTGTACTCAGGGATTTTTGTAGGGTCTGCTCCTACGCTCCTGCTTTTAGGGGCAGTTGAAGGGTCATCGGACCGTGTTTAGTACTCAATACACATTCAAACATTCCATGGGTATTCCTATGGATTTTTGATCTGCGGATCCAAGGTCTTTGTGAAGGGAACTGGACGGGCAAAAACTGAGCCTACTGCCTCACGGTCCTATAGATCAATTAGGGTCAGCACGTCACGTGCCTCGTAAGTGACTCTTTCTACACGGATGCTGAAGTTGCCCTCACTTTAGAAATACCATGTAGAATGCATGCTGGAGAACTTCAATCTATGCTCAATGTATATAGAAACCCTCTAATCTTGATGCGAGTTTGTTTTTCTTTTTAACCCGAGAATAATCACCATCATTCATCTTCCGGTGCATCGTCCACACCACGCAGCCAAGCGGCTCTAGCATCAACCGCCGCCTTGCGCACATCACGCTTGGGATCATCTAGAACCACCCGCAAGGACCTCAGAACCTGAGTCTTGACAGGCAAGAGAGGCGAGATACCCGGCGGCGGACGCGCGTTAGCCGCAGCGCCGGGCACCTGGTGCGTAGCGAGGAGATTGAGACATTTCAAAGCATCCACGCGGAGACGGGGGCTGCTAACAGTGCCAGGGCCTATGTTTATAGCGGTTGTTTTCAGGAGTCTCGTGACAAGACTCTGGATGTGGCCGCACTGGTCGATGACGGCGACGCCGTTATCGCGAATAATAACGGCCAAGGTATCAAGTGTTGCTGTGCGGACGGCGACGGAGCCGGCAGTTTGGAGGTCGAGGGATTGCAGGAGAAGAGGGAGCAGGGTTGGGAGTTCTGGCATGACTAGGGCTGTGGGGATTGTAGAGAGAATACCCGCCAGGGCGGTAAGGTGGGCTGATTTGATGTGATCAGGCGCCTTTGGGGTGGCGGCAGAGTCATCTGTTCCGGCGATGTTCACTTCACGGATGCGAGATGAGATCAAAGGGATGACTGTAGTGAAGAGACGCTGTCTGCAAAGGAGGCGAATTGTGGCGCCGTTGGTTGCGGAAAGAATGTCATCTTCGCCAAGGATTATGGAGAACCCTTGTGCTGCTATCGCGCTGGTTTGCTGGTCTGGGGAGGAGACAAGGGCGAGGAGGGAGGTTATGATGTGGGTGATTGTAGGGGCTAGGCGGAGGATCAAGGCTTTGGATAGCCACAGAATAGTGCGGATGGTTGCAGGGTTAAGGCTCTTTGATGTAGTGTCCTGGCCTTGGAAGAGAGAATCCAAGAGTTTCTCGGCGATCGACACATCCTGCTTTGACAGGAACTTGTTGACGAGCAAGGCTAGGTGACGCAGGTAGGCTTGGTGTATTGCTGGTTCGGTGCTCGAGACTGAACGATGGACCAGATCCAACAGCAAACCCGACATGTCTGGGTTGGTGTGCGGGATTTTGTTGCTGCAGTCCTTGGATATTCCCGCAAGCAGGTATGTTGAGATAATGATCGTACGTTCTTGATCCGCATTTACAGTCTGGGTGAACGGAATAGGAGCAAACTCTTCAGCTGTAGAGAAGAGGCTGTAGACATTTTCAGCAACTTGTTCCTGCTTCTGAATGGAAACAGATCGCACAAGGAGGTTGCAAAGTCGACCCAAAGTGTCAAGCACGGTAGGATCGTTGAGAATCCGGTTCTTTGCCTTGCCAGAGGCTGATGCTGCGACATCGCGGCAGAGTCCAATCACAACTTTGTCGAAGTACAAATCCACACTCTGGTCTTGTTCCATGTTCCTCTGTTGCATAACATAAAGCAAAGTAGTGAGAATTGCACGTGGGTAAGCAACTGACCCGGGTTGCTCCTTTTGCAGCAGAACGGACAATTTGCTAAACAGACGACGGAAAAGTGTTTCGAAAATGTCCCTCTCGACACTGATCTGAGCAAGAGTCTCAAGCGTTGGCAGATACAGGGCATCGGAACCTTCATCTTCCTCTGGCAGAGTTGCCACAAACGCAGGGAAAGTGATATCCACAATCAGGCGGGGCTTGTGCTTGGAAATTTCAGCAAGAGCAGCAATTGCTTCTTTCTTGAGATCATTCCGGCCCACAGACTCCTCCTTGAGAATGATTTCGTCAAGGTATTGCACAAAAAGCCCAATCTCATTCTCCTGGAAGAAATGACGCAAATTGGAGAGAAGCAAGAAGCCCTTCAAGGCAGTAACCCGGAAGGAGACCTCTTCCTTGGCTGCACCCATCAATGCCTGACCATAAAGGTCCGAAAATTGGTCTTTAAATTCGAGCAGTGGGTTTTCGACAGCAGCCTCCCCACCTCGGGTGGCCCACTGTCCAAATACGGTTGTAGCAGCTTCGAACAAGAAATTCAGAGTTTCGAGAAGTGCCCTTTGTTTGACGATTCCGTCCGCTTCTTGATAAAGTGTGAAAATCGGAGGCACAACTGTTTGTACAACAAGGATAAAGGAAACGGGTGAAGCAGCAGACACACAGCTGAGGATCGATTGGGCCGGCTTGGCCTTCTTGTTTTGAGGCTCCTTGAGTTGCTCATTGCATTCCTTTATGATTGGCTGAAGGAACTTTGCAAGAGGCAGTTCTTGTGACACTTCAGTAACTCCTTCAGACAGCCTTTTGGCGATTATCTGCAAAGCCTTGAGTGAGCTTTCAGAAAAGAACTCCTCTTGGGCATTGATTATCTCAAACTTGAGGACTTCCCATATGGTAATGGAAAACTTGGACACTGTGTTGGGGTCGTATGATTGGATACATGCGATCAGTGTATTAAGTGCATCTTTCTACAGATCTGTTAGATGACTACAAAATCGCGGTGCATTGAGCAATCTTACCTTTACGTTTGGAGAAGTAGAGTCAAGCTTGTCCAATAGGGCAGGGATAGCATGGGGTGCAAAATGCCTTGTCGAAGAGATACATTCTTGAAGACGGCCCTTCAGATCCTGCGCAGTGATTCCATAGGGATCATTGGGCGGGGGTCGGAATGTGATCGGGAAGTAGTTATATACCGAGTCGAATAGGGTCTGCCTAATATTAGCGGAATCTGCAACCTTGGAATAATTGTACATACCTCAACATGATTCGAGATGTCCCATTCCACCATGACCACTTTCAGGATCGAGAAAACAATCATCAAGTTCCTCGGGTCTTTCTCTCCTGTCATGATATCAACAACACCCAGAAGCGAGATATCTCCCATATCACGCATGGCTCCGCGGTGGTTCGACATCAAATCATTGAGCAATTGATAGACATGGAATCTTTGTGTTTGAGACCGAGACTGGAGGTCTTGGAAGTTGGAGAAAAGTCTAGATCAGTAAATTAGCACGGGGTCATCATTGGGTTAAGCTTCATCCCTGACGAACAAAAGGATGACGCATGCAACCAAAAAGTAAAGCACCTACGCTTGTGCTACTTGGGTAGCCAAAAACTTGTTGAACCTGTCCAGGCCCTGGAGTGCCTGCAAGCCATCAATGGCGCCTCCATCCTCAATTCTATCACAGAAGAATGTAGTCAAAACTTGAATCTGTTGTCTCGAGAGGCATTTCGGCGAGAGAGCTTGGATGATGGCCGTAAGGTAGGAAATCGCTTTTCCACGTAAAACCGGGTCTTCGTCGTTGATATATTCCCCCAGAGATTGTACAGTATCGATCAGAGTCACCTTTTTAGTCTCAACATCTATAATCACCTCTGTTAATGATACAACGGCTTGAAGTGATCTTGAGTGCGGGGCGAATTAGCATACCATGCGCAATTCCCTCAGCAATACGCTTGGCTTCTTCTTTGTCGTGGTCCACGACCAGCATAAACGTCTGGAGAGCCGACATGATACCAACCGAATCAATAAGGAGCGCCAGACGAGTAGATTGCGGGGGCAAGACCGAGATCGCATCGGCCAATTTCTTGTGACGGAAACCCTTATCGATAAGAGTCAGGTGATTGTGCTATCGCTCTCCACGTCACGTGTCAAGGCCCATTGCGTCATGGCTGTAGTGAGACCTGCTTCTCTGTCTAGTGTCATTGGCAGCAAGAAAGCTCCAACCCACCCGCAGCATGGGATCGAATCGACTAACAGCATCCATTTTGTTTACCCTATTTCTCGCTAGCTCAGCATCTGCACTCTGGGGCCTATCATATCCCTTTCCCCCACGTCAACAGCAACTATCTCTCGAGCACAAAGAGCATCAATCAATGATGGAAAAGATACTCCCCGGTATTGTCCAGCCGCAGAAGACGGCTCCGGATGAGGATGTGAACTCAAAAGTCAGCGGTGGCCCCATTATCTCAGACGTCCTGCCCAAGACCAAGGGCATCAATATATTTGCTCGGTTGACCCGTGACTTTGATCCGATCGCCAGTCGACTTAACGATGCGTCCAAGAATTTAACAGTTCTAGCACCACGGAATAGTGCAATCCAGGCTCTTCCGAGAAAGCCCTGGGAGAATCCAGAGGACTACAGGAAGTTCGGAGAAATAAATGCATATGAGGGCCAGGATGGTCAAGACCGGGCCAAGCGGAATCTCCAGCGATTTGTGGAGGCCCATCTCATCCCTGCTAGTCCTTGGAGGGTTGGGGAAGAGGTTGAGACGCTTGCAGGGGAGAAGTTGAAGTGGACGAAGGAGGGCGACAAGATCTTTGTAAGTCTTTCTCTGCTGGTCCTTCGTATGGTAACTGACTATCTATAGATCCAACCTGGCAACATTGAAGTTGATTCAATTGCGGAGAAGGTCCATAATGGAGAAGTTTGGATCTTGAATGATGTCATAAACTACTGTCGAGAGTGATTGGTTATGAGTTACTACGAATTATGGAAATTGTGCAACATGAAGCATTCAAGAACACGAGCGAAAGATCTACAAGATTTTGGCCTATTAAGAAACATGGCACATTCTAATTTTTATGCTATCCTAAGCCAGCGATGACCTCAAGACAGTTGTATACACCTACACTAGACATCACTTGCAACGTCAGAAGGGAGATTAGATCCCCGCAGGAGCAAAGTTTTGCAAGATTCTCTCTTCCACTCCATCGAGAATGCAGAAGTGCTCCATCACTTCCAAATTCTCCGCTTCGCTCAGATACAGCTTATCGGGATCTTGGCCGGGCTGGAGCGGGTTGACCATTGCGGCAGGGTTAGCCATGCCCATCTGCTGGGCCATTTGGTTGGCAGCTATAGAGTTTTAATGGCAGTTTTTATTGGCAAGGGGTGAGAGAGATACATACAGTTATCACTGCCGAGGATGAATCCAAAAACGGACTGAAGGCCCATCAAGTTGAGGAAATACCACGAAAGACTAGAGACCCATTGCACATCAAGGTCGCGAGTCATGACACCTGACTGCAGCATCGACTTGAAGCGGATGGTAAGCGGGAAGGGTAATTTCACTGCGGAATTTGTAAGCATTTTGAATATGTCCATTTACATTAAAACGCAACATACAGATGACAAAGCCAGAGAAGAAGGCATTGATCCAGCTCATGATCAAGGTTTGCGGGATCATCATCATCATGTTTCCCTTCAGCATTCCCATCATAGCTTCCATGCCGGCAGGATCGGTCATGGGGTTAGCGGGCGGTTGGCCACGGTTGTTGGGGTCCTTTAGAAATGCGCCGTTGCGGAATCCAGTAACCATGTAGGTCTTGCGCATCTCGAAGGACTCTCGGTCGAGCACGGAGCAGGCATTGTTGCGGAGATTCACACCGCGCAGAAGAGCAAGGCGCTCGCGAGACTCAGCAAGAGTAGACGGCGATTTTGGGGGCGTGTTCATCAGGACCGTGGCATAGTGGCGAACGATTCCGGTCAGTATCTATTCAAGAAGAGTAGTCAGCTTTCAGGCTCAAAGGCATCGCAAAAAATTTAAGCTTCAAGCACTGGGTATAAATTATACCATAACAATTGAAATGGGAAAGAGAATCCAATAGCTATAAGAAAATGGTCAGTCCAACTTCCGCTTGATCGAATCATGTTCTCTCACAATAGCGCCGGATCCCTAAGGATGGTCTGCTCAGCCCCTTGAATTGCCATATTGAGGCAGAATAAGAATCACAGAAGTGCCTCCTTTGAACCTAAACAATAAATCAGTGGTGGCTGCAAGTGGGGGATGGAAAGTTGAAGGGGCCGCGAAGGAGAGGTTGCCAGGCGGAGAGGGATGTCATTGGCCAGCGTGAGCTCCAACTTTCTCCAAAGGGCCACGCCGCATCTTTGCCCTGCGACAAACAACAGCCCTGTCTTGACCACTGAATGCTGAACAACACTCGAAATATTTGTTTTCAAAAAGCTCTTTACATCTATTCTCAGATCTGCCATGGCTTCCATCAAGGTGCCGGTCTACTCGACCAATGGTCAGCTATCACGATCTACTCTATACAGGACCAACACTGATAATATGAGCAACAGATCTCAAGTCTACGAGCGACGATGCTCTCCTTCCTTACCTCACTAACCTTCCCGCGCCATTTGCTTTCACACCGGACTACTCGAAGACAAACATTCGCTTCCTGCTTGGATACAGCGCTGTCGCAATCGCAGGGTTTACTTTCTATGCAGATCGCACGCTTGGCTGGGAAGCAACTACCTCGCCCTGGATTATCGCGGCAGTTGGGACCTACTTTGTCTTGAACAGCATCCTCACATACTGGATTTGGGCTGTTGAAGCTGGCGAGGTATACTCCGGAAAGAGGAAGACTGGAGAGACGGTATGCCTAAGGATCTACTTCTCATTCGAGATTCCAATCTTTGGCAGGTTACTAACACTTTTACTCATAGATCTCTGTCTCATCATCCGCTAAAAAGTTTTCCAAGCTCTACAAGCTTCATGTCATTTACAAGTCTGCCTCTGGCAAGGTCCTCCAGGACAAGTGGTGCGAGGCGCCCTTCACGACTTGGTTTTCGGCAGATGGTGTATTCCACGCCGATTCTTTCCGTCGCTGGGTAGCCAGCGAGATTGATATTTTGAGATTGGCGGCGAAGGAGAATGAAAAGAAGTCTGGCTAAAATGGAAGGTTCCATCAATTACTACCAGAGGTTATGTTTTTGGGGCTATTGCAAAACGCAAAGCTAGTTCATTCTCTTAAAGTAATGAACAAGAGTGCATTCATATCACATGTTCAAACGAGCGTGGTTTTTCAATGGGCATAGTTAATCAACCGCTTCTCACCAGAATACGTGACTTTTCGATCATGACTGGCAGTGAAAGCAATCTCGTATGCAACACCTATGCCTCACTCAATAAGTGAGAGAACCTACACTGGGGTGAGTGTCTTAGCTTGATCTGTTGGAATATGATGTCTTACCTAGGGCTATTGAGCTCACGTGGACGTCTGCTTTTACTGGAAGGAGCTCTTCTGCACTTTCCAAACTTGAAGAGCTTCGAGCTCAACGGGCTTGGAAGCTTGAACTTGAGAAAGTTTTGCCCATGATCTGCTCCTCATCACATGTCACCTTACTGCTCAACTGCTCTTAAACTACATGGTTTTGCTCTCTGACAAGCTCAAGTTATCGAGATCCCTTCACATCTACTTCCCGCGGTCTTGAAGACCTCTTATATGGAGTTTATAGCATCTGCCCTTGTTCAAACTCGGTATAAGCTCTCATCTCACAGAAATCTACTCTCTGAGTGTGTGGCTAAGGATTTGACTAATGTCAGTCCCAGTTGTTCTCGGAACAATTTGGTACTTCATAGATATCATCCTTCGAGCCTGGCTGGATGTTTTCTTCTGGAGCATTATGCAAGTTCAGAGTGCGTAGATAACAAACTGAAGCAGTAAACAAAAAGCAGTTATTGTTTGAAGAACAAATGCCAACCGAGCCGATCGATAAAAGTCCCAAAAATAAGATGCGACTGGGAGATATCTGAGCACAGGAATTAAAAGAGGAAACATGACGTTTCAGAGTATAATCGAAATGGCTAATAACAAACAGAACATCTATAAGTTTTTATGGAATGGGCAGCTCGGGGCATGACCATCAAGTTTGAAGTGTGAATTGGTGATGAACGACCTATGATGACGCCTCAAGGGTGCCAGGACGTTCTGTGGCCTCGGCAGGCTTGACATCATCCAGTCGCTTGTTTTGAATGAGTCTCTATAATTTGCCATGTTAGACGGTGTCTCAAAAGACCAGTGAGCATGAAAACCATGCATAGAGACGAAACATACCAGCAGGTTCCGCAACAGTACAACAATGGTAACCTTTCCAATAGAGGGAACGAAAAGCGAGGCCTTGTCTCGGACCTCGTGGGGGAAGTTCTATATCACAATCGTCAGCAACCACAACCTCTTAACCAGACTCGGATGCGCAAACAAAAACACACCTTCTCGCTAGAGAAATTGAGACAGACAGCACCCTCGCGCAGAAGGCTAGTATCGAACTTGTACTTGTCACTGGGCACACCAGTAATAACCACATCACAGAGCGGCACAACGTCCTTCAGGGTCTTCCCCTCAAGATCAACAACCTCATGCGTGTTTTTCCGCAATCCCTCACCACGAGTAAACTTCTGCACACCAGTGATATCAACTGAGTAAACACAAGCGCCATCATTAGCCAGCAGAGCAGCAAGCGGACGACCCACCACCTCAGAGCGGTTCACAACACAAATCGTATGTCCGAAGAGACGGTTTCCGTAAGGCAGGATGGTGTTGTAGATGTTGAGGTACTCGAGGATCTTGATGTTGGCCAGCGGGGTGCAGGGCAGAATGGACTTCTGGCGCTTGGCCTCACCGTCCAGGAAACGTATGTTCTGGTACATGTTGAAGATGTAGCGGTGGCTCAGGCCCTCGACATCTTTGGTTACATCGACGATCTGCTGCAGGTACTGGTCCTGGCGGGTGCCAAAGATGGGGTAGTAGACGATTATACCGTCGACATTGTTGTCGGAGTTGGCGTTCAGAATGGCTTGTTCGATGTCGTCGCGGGACACTTCGCGCATGGTGTACTTGAAACCGCTGAGGAAGACATTGTGTTAGAGCGTTGTTTCAATTAGAGTATTGGCTATGCTTTTGCGCTCGTTTTGTTGGGTTTTTCGAATTTTCGAATTTTCGAATTTTCCCTTTTTGGGCCGAGGGGCATGTATGAATCATTCTAGTTACCCCACCATTCATCCCACCAAAGAAGCCATTGGAGCCATTGAAGCCAGAACTTATCAAAATGGTATTGAGACTCACTTCTCCTCGCAGGTCTTCTGCGTCATCTGCGCGTACACCAGCGCGGCAGGGTCATTATTGGCCAGCAGGCCGACTAAATGAGGCGGCTTCTCGAGGGTCTTGAGGCCCTCGTGGACTTCAGTGAGGAGGTGGTTGGCAACGTTCTTGCTCAACATCACCTTGCAGGAGGAGGCGGGTTTATCGGTGGGGGCAGACATGGCGGCAATGGGACGATATTAGCAAGGTAATCAGCGACAGGGAATGGTGAAGTTGCTTGCACGCGGGGGACTTGGTGATCTCCGGGAAAATCTTGATCGCTTATCGATAACAGATCGGGTGCCGGTTTCGGCCTCTACTGCCGAGTGTCGCGACTTTTGAATGATAGAGTATAGAGCATCAGGCATAAGAATCTAGATATAAGTAAAGCTTCTAGTGGTCACTACCGACCGATTGGGAGGGAATGTTTATTTGATAAACTTGGTAAGTTAGGGCTTACTTGGAAACGGTCTTCATCTATTATGTGCGAATCCATACCTTAGCAGTCGTGTACAACAAGGCTACAGTCTACAATTCAAGATTAGAAGATTGAACAAAGAAAAGTAAATGCGGTCCAATGTGGAGAGGATGAAGGAGACCAGACGGAATTAGAACGGTCGTCCACCCATCTCGCGCCCCGATGCGCGGATAAAATCTAAACGTACAGGATATAATCACATTTTGGCAGACCAAAGTCATTTGAGTTCTCACTCGAACAGCACTACGGGAAATGCCTGGTCCGCCCCCAGGATCATGCAGATAATTACATCGCTACATCCAGGGGCAGACTAGGATCTCCTGCCAGGCACCAGCACCAAGAAGAACAGAAAAACAATGGGCTCAAAATTGTACAGGCTATCTTGTCTATACACATAGAGTCAAGAAAACAAAGCCGACCACGAAGGGTCTTCCGAGTTATTTCTTCACTTATGCGTTGAAGGTGGAGTTGAAGGCGGAAATGGTCTTCTTAAGGATGGCCTCTGTCTCCTTGGAGACCTGGCCCTCCTTCTCGATGGTGGCCTGGATCTCGGGGTGGGAGCTCTTGAGGTGAGCAAGGAGGTCAGTCTCCCAAGTGAGAATCTTCTCGACGGGGATGGTGTCGAGGAGACCGTTAACACCAGCGAAGATCAGAGGAACCATGTCGGTAACGGCCATGGGGGAGTACTGCTTCTGCTTGAGGAGCTCGGTCAGACGCTCACCACGGGCAAGGGTCTGCTTGGTGGAGGCATCGAGATCGGAACCGAACTGGGCGAAAGCAGCGACCTCACGGTACTGAGCCAAGAACAGCTTGAGGGAACCGGCGACCTGCTTCATGGCCTTGACCTGGGCGGCGGAACCGACACGGGACACGGACAGACCGACGTTAATGGCGGGACGAATACCCTTGTAGAACAGCTCGGACTCCAAGAAGATCTGACCGTCAGTGATGGAAATGACGTTGGTGGGGATGTAAGCGGACACATCACCACCCTGGGTCTCAATGATGGGCAGGGCAGTCAAGGAACCAGCGCCGTGGGTCTTGTTCATCTTGGCGGCACGCTCGAGGAGACGAGAGTGCAGGTAGAAAACGTCACCGGGGTAGGCCTCACGTCCGGGGGGACGACGGAGGAGCAGAGACATCTGACGGTAGGCAACGGCCTGCTTGGACAGATCATCGTAAATGATGACGGCGTGGCGGCCGTTGTCACGGAACCACTCACCCATGGCGCAACCAGTGAAGGGAGCAATGTACTGCAGGGGAGCGGCCTCAGAGGCGGTGGCTGCAATGATGACGGAGTACTTCATGGCATCCTGCTCCTCAAGGGTCTTGACGAGCTGAGCGACAGTGGAACGCTTCTGTCCAACGGCGACGTAGATACAGTAGAGCTTCTCCTCCTCAGTGGCACCCTGTCTGTTGTTCCAACGCTTCTGGTTGAGCATGGTGTCGAGAGCGACAGCGGTCTTACCGGTCTGACGATCACCAATGATCAACTCACGCTGACCACGGCCAATGGGGACCATGGAGTCGACACACTTCATACCAGTCTGCACTGGCTGGTTGACGGACTGACGGGGCAGAATGCCGGGGGCCTTGAGCTGGGCACGGCGCTTCTCCTTGGTGTTAAGAGGACCCTTGCCATCAATGGGGTTACCAAGAGCATCGACGACACGGCCGAGCAGCTCAGGGCCGACGGGGACCTCGACCTGGATGTAGTGTTAGAATTTTTTCCAAGGGTTTGATATTTTCGGAGTCCAATATCAAAATGAACCCAAGAGGTTGGATTGAAGTGCTTACAATCTCGCCGGTACGCTTGACGGTCTCACCCTCCTTGACGAGACGGTCGGAACCGAAAAGCACAACACCGACCTGGCCGGCCTCGAGGTTCATGCACATACCCTTAACGCCGGAGGCGAACCTGAAGATGAGTTAGTTTTCATGTCTGGATAGTGCCAAGACTTTGGGAGTTCACATACTCGACCAGCTCCTCAGCCTGGACGTTGGTCATGCCGTGGACACGGGCGATACCATCACTATTCAAAGCTCAATTAGTTTCTGTATCGGTATTTTGTCGATTGTTGATGCATAATTGCGGATCCGATGGAATTGTAGCCGGGGACCGAATTTTTTTTTTTCGCGCCCCCAGCCGCCTGGGGAGAATCGACGTACCCGACCGACAGAACACGACCGGTCTCAGCAAGACCAGCCTCCTCAGAGACACCACGGATGCGCTGCTCAAGGATGGAGGAGACCTCGGTAGGGGTAGCCTTGGCCTCGGAAGCGTACGAGCGAACGCCGTTGAGAGGACCGGCAACAGCCGCGCGGACCTGTGATGGACGAAAAACCTGTTAATGATCATCCCAGAGAAGGACATTGCGTCCAATCCATTGTAAAAGTATCGTTGTCGATATAGGAGGAGGTATGAACATCGATCGAGCTCAAGATTGAGATGAAGGATGTGGAACTGGCGATGGACTAAGGCGGCTGGGATATTATAGACTCACCGAGGCGATGCGGCCAGTGGCCGAAACAGCCGCGATGGAGCGGCTGGACGACCGCAGAGCGTTTCTGAACATTGTGAAAGGGAGTTCAGAGGATGGGAGGATGAATTCTCTGAGGAAGAGATGTAATTGGGGAGAGAGAACGGGAGAGGAGAGAGGATTGTGGATGGGAGGGAGAGCTTTGTCGTCGGGGGGAGGATTGGATTCTCAGGACTCGCGCTAAACCGTTTCGGACGCTGGGCCCTCCGAGGTGGCCCTAGTGTGAGGACACGGTGTATCTTGTACGCTTTTAATTTTACTACAATGTTATATAAATCTAATGTTTTCCTTCTCTATTTCTATTTCTAGAAATTCTCCCAATTTTTTCAAAACATTACACACGCCCATAATGGGTTAATTCCATTTGCATTGCCGACCGGAAGAGTGTGCCACGGGCCACTGTCCTTCCGTTTTTTTCTCTTCTCGGATCGGCGGAATTCCCAGTCAGGTGAATCGCTTATGTCACGGCTTTCGTCACGGCAACCGAAGGCGGGTGTTTCTACAACATATGCTTTGGTTATGATGTTGTTATGTTATATTCTTTCAATGTTATTTCCAAGTCCTCTGTGTTATGATACTACCAGACAATCAAATCACACCATTGGCCAAAATAGCGAAGTCAGCTCCCATACAAACGGGGTAAGTATGTCCCGAATTGGCGACAAGACAGTGCAAAATAACAATCGCAAAAAAAGAGGTATCAATCGCTTTGCTAATCACAGATATTTCAATCAATGCGCCCATGAAACCACACTGAAATTCTCAGCATCAACCAAAACAGCCCAAGAACACATGTCCCTCGGTCTTGGCAATCAATATCTCCCCTTACTGCATGCTGCACGCACAAGCCATTCACTGTTCCGCCTTGCCCTTGCCCTTGCCACTCTCATCCCCCTGCTTCCGGAACTTCAGAATCTCCAGCTCAACGCCCTTCTCAAACCGCTTCTTGAGTTCGGAGCGATATCCGAAGAAAAACAGAATCTCCATCCAGACGAATAGCGGTGCAAGCAGTAAAGCCTGTACAAGGTTATCCAGCAAGGCGGGGGCACGTTTCTCAAATACACCATGTCCGACAAACTGCGCAAGCCATGACACGACATGTATGCCTCCGGCCCAGTAGTTCACGATGCTACCGTACGTGCTGAGGAAGTAGTTTCCGTAGTATGCAGCTGTGATCACGGCAGGTGCGAGTAAGCCGCCGGCTATGGGCTCTAGGAGAACATAAAATGTGGCGTAGACAAGAGCGCCGATTGTTCCGGCGTTTGCCGGCAGGTATTCGATTTGGAGAACGTCCGGAAGGGTGAAGAAGGGCGGGCAATTGCAGGCCTTGGGAGGTCAGCACTAGTAATTTTATACACTGAGGATAACCTGTTTCGCTGGAAAATGCCGAGGTTGACGTACGAGGATGATGCCGGTAAACAGTAGGATTGGGACGCAGGTGATATGGATTGCGACGTTGACCTGCACTGTTAGTGAGCGTTGTATATTATTGGCGATGGGAGTAGGGCGGATATACGGGATTGCTATGGTAGGCTCCATACTAGATGACAAGTCAGCTATAGTCCCGGTGCCGTTCTGGCAGTTCCAAGGTTCCGAGGTTGGATGTGGATGCTTACGAATAGCAACTGTTTCTCAAGATTAAGCGCCATCTTGCCGGATAGGAAACAAAAAGACGGGGAATTCTGGGTAGGTGGTTTTGTGGGGTGATGGAATCAGGCAAATGGCATCATCTTTATCGGAAAACGTTGAGTGGTGCAATTGACATTCAAGGTGCTGGCCCTGGCGTCATGTGCCCAAGAAAGACGTTGGGTCTTGGCAGCGTAACGGCACACATGGGCTCTAGGTGTGGCAACCATTATGCACAGACCTATCAGACCCTCTTCACTATAGTTTAATGGGATGTTTTGCGCTGCAGGTAATGGAGTCTCGAACTTTGATTAGAGACCTTTCCCGTGTCTCATTAAACTAGTCGTTGGCTATGTACTACATAAAACCGCACTGTCTTGTGTGGAATGTTCCGTTGAGATTTTGGACTATGTCCATGTTCTGTTATTTGTTCCGGTGTTTTTCTCTCGGTACGTTTAGGGTGATGGAAGTATAATTAGGGATCTCTCAATTGCCAAGTTAGGGCTCGACAACATTATCCGGATCGAAATTGAAGATACGATTGGGCGGATATATATACGGAGCTAGGGATGCACATTCAATTCAGGGTTGAAACACAATGCCCATTTAGACTTAATCTGACAGGGTTATACATAGCATGGAGATGTTGTTGTAAATCGAACCGAGGCTACAAAGTCGGAAATTTCTATTATCTCAACTTCTTTAAATGTTGCAAAACATCCATGGCGTGTTGTGTGTTGTCCAATCTTTCTTCATATAAGAATCAATCCCCCACGCAGTCAAGGCTAAATTATCGACAAGCGCACATGTTGACTAAACATTCCAACAAACTAGGCATCGAATGCAGAAACAAGTTTCAATGACCCTAAACGTGCAAATATCAATTCAATTTACTATCGATCATGGAAATAACCACGTGACTACACCCACCCAAACTTGGCCCACCAGACCGGAGATGCTCTTACGAAGGGAAAGCTTGCGCCTGCAGCAACTGTGTCTGCCTCCTCGTCCAAGATCCAAGGCAGATACAATTTCTGCCACTCCCACGGGTACTCGGATCTCATTTCGTTCATTTCTGGCAGCCACATCTTGTTTGTGCTTTTACCGTTGCAGGTCATGAGCGCGTGGTCGAAAACGCCGTCCCTCGACCTCGATTGACAGCATCACTATTCCCGAAAGCGACTTGAATCTTTCCACTCCATAATTAGGCACTAGCGCATTCTCCTCCAATCACAACTGCGACGATGTTCTTCCTCAAAGAAGAGACCAAGGTGATCTCGATGCACCCGTCCTATTTCGGACCCAACATGCGAGAGTATCTCATCGGTCGACTCAACGAAGAGGAAGAGGGACGTTGCACAGGTGATCACTTTGTGATCTGTGTCATGGACATGGTTGATATTGGCGAGGGGCGGGTGATGCCTGGAATCGGACAGGCGGAATATACTATTAGATATCGTGCGATCATCTGGAAGCCGTTCCGTGGCGAGACGGCATGTGCTTGGGATCCGAAGTTGTCGCCTTTGAATTCCTGCTGACTGAGCCTAGGTCGATGCCATTGTTACTTCCGTTAAGCCCACCGGTATCTTCACCCTGGCGGGTCCGTTGTCTGTCTTCATTGCGCGAAAGGTGTGTTCTGGTTTGCTCTGATCTTGGATATCGGACTTTCACGGCTTACAACACACCAGAACATCCCCTCCGATATTAAATGGGAGCCCAACACCGTGCCGCCGCAATACACCGATCATGCCGATCAAGTGATTGAGAAAGGAACCAGCCTGCGGCTGAAGATTCTCGGTGTCAAACCTGACGTGGCTGCTATCAATGCCATTGGCACCATCAAGGAGGATTATCTTGGGTAAGTCGTTCGAACTGGGCCTAACACATGAACATTTTAACACATTTTTCTATAACAGACCTTTGTAATGAGACACGATTACAACACATACCCCCCTTTTTCACCAATTCGATAATCTATCACGCTTTCCATCGTTCCCCGAAGATATGGCGAGTGCTTGGATGGCTTTACTGCCCAACAGTAAAGAAAGAACAGTTAACAGCTCAGGGGCTGGAGTTTGACAAGTCCCTACTCGGTACACATGCCATACCTTTTGGCTTGAATGGCTATACTTGAATGAAAGACCGATCATGTCTTCTACCCAAGAGTGTCTGATTTGGATCGGCATCAGCTGACATGACTTTCGACTCGCCGGAGATCGTGTCAATCGCCGAGGTATTTCTAGTTACTTCTGAAATGTACAATGTACAGCAAGTTCCTCGTCTAACCATGTGCAATCTATGCCCCTGTAGAGGCTGAAGCCTTTAAAGTGTATTCTCCAGATTCCCCAGTTGCCGGAGAGACGCAAGGCCAAGCCCCAAGCCTAGGCCCGCATGGTGAAACACTGGCGTGTTTTCAGATGATTTCAGGGATTTCCGTGTATTTGCATTGTGCATTTTCCAATTTCACTATTGATTATCTAACACTTGCATATATATGCAAGGTACCGAGGACTAACTAGTTCTAGCGTATCCCCTGTGTATTGTTTTGTATCTGAGTACGTTGTACTCCCGCACCTGGGCCTTGAACAACTGCTGTCCTCTCTTTCTTTATCTCTCTCTTCTTCTGATTGATAGTTTCTTTGGAACTTCAACCTTATCCGGCCTACTTCTAGAGTCTTCTAGAGTAGCCATCCTCTCTGGAATACCTTGTTCCCTTCAAACCCCCTGTCCCTATACAGTTGACAATGTCCTACTTCAAGACCGAATACCAGCGGTTCCTGGATAACCCCAGGACTGCTAAATTGGCTGATGATGTGTCACTGATCTATGTTCCTACCACGACAAAGTTCGAGCAGGCCGACAATGTCATCACTCATGTGCTGAAGAACGCGGAGGTGGTCAAAACGAAATCGAACCAGGTCATCAGCGCCATTGAAGGACCAAATTCGCTATGCCTAGACATTGAGACAACCCTTGAATTCATAGAGGGTGGTGGGGTTTATCTCCCCTCGCTCGACGAGAATTTCCTGGCCGACCGTGTCGCGACTTTCCCCACGGTAAATTCCCCAACGCGCGTGGCGTTATCGAAAGCTAATGCACTATCCTGCAGGTTCACATCGTCCACTTCGACGCCAATCAACTGATAAAGCAGATTCGAATTTACTGGGACCAGGCCTCATTGCTGAGGCAAGTGGAGGTCATTGGAGCGCGCGGACGCCAATGGCCCATTCGTGATGGAAAAGACCAACTCCGTCTCCTCAAATCCGCTGAGGCGGCTTTGGCACCTTCGCAGGCTGCTTCTCAGAACGGGGAGACCAAACCTCCCCTCCGCTGCGCATCCCCAGGCAAGCGCCACATCAGAGATCCCCACTCAGCCGACTCCCTGACCGAGCTCCTCTCACCGAGCAAGGAGACACCCAGACCTACATCCTCCAGCAAGAAGTATACCCAAGACCCTTACGGAGCGGGCTCCTTGAATGAACTTCTGTCTCCCACCAAGAAGGCTCCCGCCTATGTGCCTCCCTTAGGCTCGTCTGGGCGACCTGCCACGCGCAACTTAAGCGATATCTTCCAGAAGAACGACGATATGCCCGACTCCCCCTCGAAGTCCCAGCGCCGTGCTCCCCAGGCTGACCAAGGGGACGAAAAGACTGGCACAGGACCCGTCGACGAAGACCGTCATTTCTACAAAACCGACCCCGGGAAATTCAAGCACTTCGACATCAGCGGCGAAGAGGTCGGCGGCGCAGGGCCCGTCGACGAGGACCGTCATTTCTACAAAAGCGTCCCTGGAAAATACAACCACTTTGAGATTGGCGGCGACAACTCGGAGCGCGAGTCCAAGGCCGAAGTTAGGCAGGCCAACACCAAGCACGCAACCCACTGGGACTTCGACGACGTCGAGACCCCCGTGAAGGGCTCACGCGCCCCACGCGGACAAGAAGTTCGTCACTTTGGCTTCGGCGATAACGAAGATGGCACCGGATCCCCTCAAGGCAAGCCCCACGTGACCAAGCCCCGTCGCGATGCAGACCGCCACTTCGAGCTCACCGATGAAGAATCCGAGGACGAGGCACGGATCATTAGCTCATTCGGAGGTCGCGGCAAGCGCCTCTACGAGAATCGTCTCTTCGACGACGAAGGCCAGCCTGAGCTCTCCGAGCGCGAGCGAAAAGATGAACATCTGCCAACAGGCGGCAACATCGTCAACCGCAACAAGAATTTCATCTCGCAATTCGAGTTGGCAGATGAATCCCCCGCCAAGGGGAACGAGCCTATCCAGAACCATGATGCGCACAATAAGATGATGCAGTCCCACTGGGATAACTACGATGAGCAGTCCCCCCAACCGCCTACCCAGCAACACACCAAGCACAACAAGATGATGGAGTCTCACTGGGACAACTATGACGAAGCATCCCCCGAGCCGGTTCGGAGGAATGCCACCGCGCAGCGCAACCCTCTTACCCACAACCAGCCCAGCTGGACCCATGGAGACGAGTGAGACAGTGGCACTCTAGGGCTTAGCTTGATACCACACATGTATCTCTCGTCAGCGGAGAAGTCATCTCAGCTCCGTCTTTCTGTTCTACGACAAGCATCGGCCGATTCTTTCCGTTCACGAGCTATGTATCGATACCCGCATGAATAATGGACATTGTCCTCGAAACTGCAAAATCACCGAAAAAAAATAAAGAGGCCGAAGGCTTCCCCTTTCGCGCTAGGGACTGTGCGGTTGGAGTCGAGTGTGGAATGCCTGGCCCGCGTGTACTTTCTTCAACCCTTGGCCTTCTTGTCTATCTTCTTTTGCCTTTCTTTCTACCACTCTGTACCTTGCACTCGAAATGTCACTAGTGAACAAGTTTGTTTCCATGAGAGCAGGATTCGTTTATTCGTTTATTTATGGTATTTTACTTTGATTTGATTACTTTGCAACACCTCTCCTACATTACGCATCGCAGAACAACATAGTATACGTCCGCTGAAGGAACATGGAAGATGTCCTCGTTCAATGATTCAATTGAGCCTCACAGCTATGTCACTGTCCAAGAGAGTGCACTAGGTGTCAGTTTCTGTTGTCCAACTATCGAATCTGATCAAGACAGGATTTTTCAAATGACAATTTCCATAGACCAAGGCTGAGCGAGCGAATGTAAGTAGGTTTTCCAGGTCCAACGTGATATCCATCATTCATCCACCGAGTTGTTCCAATGTCAACGTCAGTTCCACCACCAATTGAATTCAAGTCAAACCATGTAGATTCCAAATAGATTCCCAAAAAACACGCAACGCGCATAGATCTCCAAAAGATCCAAATTCAACCAAATCTAGATGTAGAACATAATATCTGCAATATTAGGATGGATCTTGACATCGACCATCCGGGACATATCCGCGGTTCCCTCAGTGCCACTGGTACTACAACCAGAAGCATCGAGCGACACAGGGTCGAACAGATCACTCAAGAAGCATCGAGCACGCGTACAAACCAGATCGGCATAGTACGCCGGTGGACAGACACTAACCGCCTTCGTCGCACGGCCGAACATGTAACACATCTTGTGAGTGAGGTCTTGGAGGACATCAGCCGCGCCGGGGCCGGGGCCGTCAGCCGGGTGGCGGGGGTAGAAGATCTCGTCCCAGACGGTGAAGTAGTGTGCAGGACGGGCTGTTCCCTGGAGGGCGGAGTGAGCCTGCAAGAAGAAGTCCCAGTCTCGGGCCTCGGAGACGCCGCGGTCGACAACGGTTCCGGGGATTGGGTTCTCGCGGTTGGAGTCCTGCTCTGTTGTTGGGTAGAAGCGGGTGTTGTGGCGCTTTCCGACGACGACGATGGCCAGACGCGGGAGGCCTTTCTTTGTCTGATTTGCCGGGTAGGTTTTCTTGCATGCTTCCTGCAGGAGGGGGAGTTCCTCGTCGATGACCTTGTTGTACTGGCCCTCTGAGACGCCGTCGCGGTAGACGATGATGTTCTCCGGGAGGGATTTGTTTAGTTTCTGCCAGTGCTGGAGGCGCGAGGCGAGGAGGTTTTCAAGATCAGCGACCATTTCTTGACGGGCGCCTTGGACGCGAATCTCGGCAGGCCATTGAGCGAGGGTTGCGTCGACTGAGGCGACGATACCTGCCACGCTGGGGGCTGTGCTGGCGGAGCCTGGCGAGGGGTGGGTTACGTCGATGCCGACAAGCATTGTTTTCCCTTCGGAGATGATTCCGAGGTCGGCGGTGCGCAGGGCTTGGTTCGCACCGCCCAATTTGAGGTTGATTTTCAGGCCGACATTGGCGTTGTACTGGTCGTTCGAGTTGACGAGCTTCTCTGCTAGGACGTTCACGTTGCGGATTCCGCAGCGGACGTCACAGACTTGCTTGACGCAGTTGTAGATACCAGTGTCTTTAGTGTGGAGTATACCCAGGATGAAGTCTGGGTTGTGCTGTTTTTGGAGATCGACGACAGCTTGCTGGATCTCATTGGCGTCGTTCTTACCGGTCAGGACAACGCGATTGCCGGGCTTGTGGGGGTCCACGGCCATTCCCATATCCCTGAGTGTTTTTCTGAAGCCTTGCAGAGACGCGTTGAGCTGATCTGGGTTTTGGAAGACTGGGCGAGAGCCCTCCAGGTCAATGTAGAGATAAGTCCAGGATTTCATGGCTGCAGGTTTAGAGAACTGGATCTGGCGCATGTTCCAGCTGCCAAATTGGGTTCTGATTTCCTTGGTCCTGTTTCCGTCTTTATAGTAGACATTTGGGGCGGGGAGAACACGTCCGGGAACCGTGATCAGCTCAGTAGAAGAGTTAATGCCGAAAGCAGACTGTACAAGGAAGGTTAGATATCTTGACCAAAAGTTTTTGGATCGAGGGAGTGCTTACTAGTGTAGCATTCAGAGGCTCGCCGAGTCCCAGCACACCCACGCCCTTGGTAACAATCGACTGGGCATTCTGACCCGGCTTTCGACCCATAACAGCAAAGCGGAGCATACTGGATGTCTGATCACCAGAAAGCTTGGATTTAGCTGGCTGGCCAGGCTCAACTTCGCAGACCTCAACGGGGAGGTAGACAGGTCTGTCACGAGACCCGACATTCACCACTGGGAGGGTTGCATTCAAAGTTATGTTGTACTCTAAGAGGAAAATCAGCATCATGCGAGGAGGGAGGAGTCAAAGGAAAAATGAAGATCAACGGACCCTTTTTAAAGAAGTCCGCAACGGTGATGTAGCGACCGGCCTCCGCAGGACCGGCCCTGGGCGCTTTCTTTCCCTTCTTAGCCTTGGGCTCGGACGTACTAGGTACGGCAACGGGCTGAGGGCTAGATTCAGCCAGGAAGAATTGCACATCTTGGGGACCAGCACCATGGCGGGAAACCTTGGGTGGGTTGGACGATGAGCCACCATCACCGCGGTTGGCCAGTCCATAGATAGGCTTGATGCGAGGCCGGGCTTGACCGCGACTGTTCTTGCGGGTGATATGGGTGATGCGAACACGTAAGCTCTTGAGGAACTTTTCCAAGCGATAAGTGTTCCTGTTACCGTAGGCTTGAATCACATTACCCAAGGGTCCTTCATTGTAACAGGCCAGATATTTGACCTGGACATTCAAAAGCACACGAGCAGTCGCAGCACGCACACTAACAAAGAATCCACGCAGAACGGTTAGGCCACCGCCAAGGTTGAAGGATTCCATGGTATCCTGACGCAGACTGTAGTGTCTGTTGGCTCCGACAGAGACGACCTGATCGTCCGTCTTGGGGTGGTTTCCCATGATCATGTTGAGAGCAGCTACAATCTCAGACTTGGATTGAAGCATGGCACTGGCGTTGGTGGAGGTCAGGTAGTTAACCAAATCAGCAGGATTGACTTCACCAGAATACTGACAGGTAACCTGGTGCACCCGGGGTGGATCCAGGTAGTCATCTTCCATGTGCTCCTTGTATCGCACATCGAATTTACCCTCGGTCAATTTGACACACGAGATTAGTGTAGACCGGAAGTCTGAAGCAATACTGTTCTTCTGTTGTGGGAAGTGTTCCTCCAACAGCAGACGGACAATGTGTCGGGCCTTCTTGCCCACCGGGGCAGATCGGCCTGCAGAGTCGGCTGCAATGGACACATGGTAGCGGAATAGCTGCTTTTTTGGCAGGGTCAGCGGCAGGTAGTTCGCATATAAAGTCACCGGCCTGCCAGCTGTGCCGTAACCAGGACGCTCGGGATATTTTGCCTGCCGGGGGGTCTTCTGACCGCTCACAGCAAGAGCTTTGGCAAGGTCGTTTTCGGTCTTGGTGACGGTGGTGTTAGGAGGTGGGATGGGTTCGCCTTGTCTAAAGGCAAACGATTAGATTTGCTCAATTAGCAGCGAATTGTGAAAGGCAAACCTGAAGATAGGTGGGCCAAAGTTGGTAGCACCTCCACGCCCTCCACGGCCGCGGAAATCCCCCCTACCCCGAAAATCACCACGACCGCGGAAATCACCTCCACCTCTGCCACGACCTCGGTCACTTCCGCCTCTTAAGTCACCTCCGCGACCCCTATCACTCCCTCGGCCTCGGAAATCACCCCGGAAGTCTCCACGGTTTCCATCGCCTCTGCCGGCTGGGCGGAAGCCTAAATCACCACGACTTTCTCCGCGACCGCGACCTCGATCACCACGACCACGATCGCCACGGCCACGATCGCCACGGCCACGATCACCACGGCCACGACCCCTATTGTCACTCATAATTAGAAGAACCTGGACAAAGATGGCTTTTTTGGTTTCGTTGTCAATTTTTTTTGATTAAACGAAAGGTGGTGGGAAATACGGGAATGGGGGGTAGACGGCTTATTAAGGATTTAGAGTGCGGTGGACACCCGGTGTATCGTTTGTACTCCTCCGTACACGTTCTTTGTTTGATGTGCTGGCAGTTAACAGGGGTATATGGAGTGACTGTAGTATGACCAGTGTGACAATTGGGTAACCCATGCTATTTATATACCTAGGGACATCGATGTAAGGAGCTTCTAGCTGCATGAATGATGTGACCATAGTACTTCCTCGCCTTTTTTGCCATGTCTACTTTGTACATATAGCAAGCGGTCAACCGGTAGATACATGTGAGGAAATAACAGCAGTGTATGGTGACTCTATTTTGGTGATAGGAAAAGTCTTATGTTTCACTAGCCATGTAAGTATACTTCCGTTGATTTCTGTCGATCTGTGCTAGACTTCCGCAAAGCTCGAAAATTATAGATAGGATGGTCCCCACACTATTGTACTATTCTGTAGCACATGTTGGTTGTTGTGTTTTGTGTGGCTCTAAATTCTCATGCATACATCTCTCTCTTTTCGTATAAGGGTTTGGATAGATCAGCTTACTACTCCGTACTTTATAGATTTCGAGACATGTGCACATTAGATTGAATCCCACCTATGAGTCATTGATCGTCGTATGGCTAGCCAATTGGCGTCAAGCCAAGGAAAAAGGAAGCCTACAACAAAGATCAGAACTAGTAAAATGAAGACGATATCAGAGTCAAGGGCATACTCTGGATCAGCCTCGACAGAAAGGAAGAGCATATTAGTGTACTTAAAGGAAGGCAACATACCATCTCACATATTTGAAGACATGCTCCATGCATGAGCCTTAACTTGGGATGTGTCCAGGCAGCCCCATGGTGAGATCATCTGGTGATAAGGCAAAATCGGAGATAACGGATTAATCATCATTTCGTCGCGGACCTAGATACCTGCCTAGCTTCATTTTCTCATGGTCATCTCTTTGTTGTTGTCGTTGACTTGAAAAGGTGACCCTGATCGCCACACTTAGGTCGGAATATCTCAATAGTCTTCCGAGTTTGATTTTGCGCCCCCAACTTCGTTATCCACCCGCGCAGCATCTCAAACCCCTCCTTCAACCATCGCACATCGCAAGCTTCGACAACGCACATCCGTACATCGCATTACCCCACAATTTATCTAGTGATACCGTGCGCCTAGATCACATTTTCCGACCGTTCAAAATAGTCGCCAACGGCATCAACCACATCTCAAGCTCTAGGCCTGGCGCGCGTTCCTAACGACAGGAGCTAAATCCTCTGGCATTGACGTTGCGCCAAATTGTGCATACGTGGCTACGACCAGGGAAGGAAACAAACTGTGTTTGGAACCTCGTACAGATATTCAGGAGTCGGCTTGCAATCAGACCGAGAAGGCTGTTTGGATGAGTTGGCGGAACAACCGAGTGGCGCATTTGATACGGTCCCAGGGCAGTGCAGACTGACAGCGTGTTTGCATGCCCCGCCCAGCTGAACTGCTGAATTGACGTGCACTGAATCATCTATGCCTGTTGCTTTACCAAGCACATCACCGCAATTTGAGTACACATATAATATCATGCCATTCCCCACCAAAATGACCCCGACACCCCCTTCTACAAATTCTTCGAGTGCTGGTCACTCTCCAGATTACAGAGTCGTCCGGAAACGAAACCGAGTACCTTTGTCATGTGGGCCTTGTCGGCATAGAAAGTAAGTATTCAAGACATGGCTGAAGTCAATTTTCTTTTTCTAATGGTTTCAGGCTGAAATGCAATCGTACAAATCCTTGCGAAAACTGCATCAAACGAGGAGATGCTGCTTCATGTAACTATGCGCAACCCAACTCGCGCAAGAAGACTATATCCCAGCAGCCGTCCAACACACCGGATGACATGCAAAATCGCATCGATCGGTTGGAAGGATTGGTTCTTTCGTTGATGACAAACGGTTCTCAGTCTGCAGGTCCGGCTGCTGCTATGGCGGCGATTTCCGGGGACAGTAGTGTGGGCTCGACTCGGTTCTCCCATGACATCGATATCGAAGAGGAGGGCATGGAGGGCGCCGAAGAGAGCGACACGGACCAGGTGACGAAGTCGTTTGGTATCATGAAGATGGACAACAACAAGTCTTATTATATCAGTGAAGCTCATTGGGCCTCTGTATTGAACGATGTAAGTTTGGGAGATTTATCCGAACTCGAGTCTTCCTAACCTGCCGCATAGATCTCCGAGGTGCGAAGTTTTTTCGCCACTCACAAGAAACAAGCCGATGAGCAATTTAAGAAAGTCAAAGCTGCCCGGCCAGCTAGTGATACACCAGGCGCAACTTTGTTGTTTGGTATCAATAAGGCGATGAGCCGTAGCGAGATTATGACGGGCTTACCTTCCAAGTACACAACTGACATTCTTATTGCTCGCTATTTCAATTGCTATGACCCTGCAATCCGTGAGTATTAGCTATTTCCGTAGCCTGTGATCGAAAAAGATCCTTCGTTCGAAACTGACTTTATCTAGATGTTCTTCATGGGCCCACATTTCAAGCACAGGTAAGGCCCCTGAGAAGAAGTTCATTGTGATTTCAGATTCTGACTCTGATAGTATAATAAACATTGGGATGATCCTGCCGCAACCGAACTCGTCTGGATCGCTATGCTCTTTGGAATGATGAGATTAGCAATGCTGTCTTACCACCGCGAAGGCGATGAGCCACCTGAATTTCGGGACAAGTCTTTGGACATGGCTGGGGGATTCCGAAATTCTGTAGCACAGTGCTTAACATTGGCTGACTACACGAAATCTCACCCTTTCTTGATCGAGGCGCTCGTGTTTCATTTACAAGGTGATTTCTCTCAAACTCGGGAGGCAGACATTTCGATTTGGGTTATGACTGGTGTTGTTGTTCGCCTAGCAATGCGATCAGGATATCACCGCGACTCCAAAATGTTCCCAAACATCACACCTTTCCAAGGTGAGATGCGACGACGAGTGTGGACCTTCGTGCGCCAAGCCGACCTTCTGTTCTCATACCAGGTCGGGTTGCCAGGCATGATCCGGGGTACAGATAGCGATACTGAGCTACCACGGAATTTGTACGATGATGATTTCGATGAAGACTGCAAGGAGCTCCCGCCCCCTCGTCAATTGAACGAGCCAACACCAGTCTCGTATTTGATTGCGAAGGCGCGCCTGTCATATGCATTCAGTCATGTGGTTGAACAAAGCTCTGCTGTCTCATCGGCACCCTACGAAAAGGTGATGGAAATCGACGCGGAGCTCCGACAGGCAAGGGAACTGATCCCTGATCACTTGTGTATTCGGCCTATGGAGGAGTGCCAGTTGGATCCTGTTAATCTTATCATGTCACGTTTTTCTGTCAGTTACCTGAAAGGCGCCACACTTTGCATCGATACTAACCGTTTCTACAGGTAATGGCCGTATACAACAAAGCTCAGTGTGTGCTTCATCGCCCTTATGTGGTTCGTGCACGAGAAAATCCTCGTTTTACCTACTCTCGAAGGACATGTATCGACTCGGCAATGGAGTTATTACAAGTTCAGGCGCTCTTACACGCGGAAACGCGTAACGGACGCCTACGCAGTCGCCAGAGCCGAGTTAACTCTCTCAGCTCAGCCGACTTTTTACTCGCAGCCACCATTGTTGCTCTCGACCTGTATCACGGCTTGTCATTGCAGGTGAGTGGCCGACCATCGGGAGACACGTACACCTGGGGCCGAGAGCGGCGCGATGAAATGACTGCCGCAATTCAACTCTCGAAAGATATTTGGGACGAGTCGCGAGATGAGAGCATGGAAGCATGGAAAGCATCCAGCATTCTAGGTGTGATGCTCAGCAAGCTGCAGATGTCGGTCCCAAGCCTCGAAAATGCCGCCGGAGCTGCTTCATTTGAACCACAAGACGAAAAGCAGAACGCGGCCATGACCCTCGGCCTGCTGAGTAGCGGGATGAGCCCGATGAACCCTGGCCCGCCGCCATTTGCTGATCCCATGTTCAGGATGAGCGATTCACCAATGGGAATAAGAGCAGCCGGGATGGGCGCCTCGGCCGAAATGCCAGGTGCGCTTTCGCCCTTCAGCAGCATGTTCGGGCAGATGCCGGACATGCAGGTCAATCTGGATTGGGTAAGTCTTTCTTCTTGGGATTCGGGGTTCAATGCTAATATGTTGACATTAGGATGCTTGGGACACATACATCCAGAATCCAATCCTCGACACATCAAACCAATTCTGGCCTATGGTTGATGCACAGCGCCAAACAGTTCCACAGTCTGGAAGCATGTCACACTCTTCCGTGCCTAGCCCTCTGCCCTCAGGGCGGGTGTCATCGGTTGTTGGTCTTCCGCGGCCACCGACAATGTTCTCAGCATCCTCCAACAGTCCCGATAGTGGAGGTGTACCAGCAACGGGATTTGGCATGCCGCAAATGCCCCAACAAAACAATGGTCAGGGTCAAGGTTCCCAATGAACGAAATGTATTAGTATTCTACTTGATTTAAATCCTTATGTTTTTGCCAGAAAATGCTTTGCTTTGGGCCTTTGTGATACCTGTATATGTTTTTCTTTTTTGGACTCGAAGTAAAGAAGTGAGTTTCTGCTTCTTGTTTATCGGATGGATTGGTGTGCGTGCTAGCGACTATGATCGCCATTTTTGCGGAGGAATTCAGGCGATGTGAGAATAGATGTTGTTTATTTGATGGATTCTGTTGATGCCGGGTTGGTTGAGTGTATTATGCCATGAAATATCAAGTATTCTCTAGATACAAGATCCAGTCCAAAGCTTTTTTTAAAATCTACTTCATCTTCACTGGCACCATATCCGTCACGTGTCGGGGCTTATCTGCCGGGAAAAAGTCATCTGGCTTCGTGCAATTCTTCTCCGGTCAGCATATTATTTCTAATCCGATATTAACACATCTTGTGTTAATTCAGTCCCCAAGATGTAAGTCATGCTGAATGCCGAATCTGAGTCCGAGTCCAAAACCTATATCTTATGCTCCCTCGATCTTGATTGACAATTGCTAAACAATCAATCTCTAGGCACTGCTTCCGCCGGGCCGTTTTTCAGCTTCATTTGTCCCCAGCGGCTTCGCGTTCATCGATCACCGCCTCCAGCGCAGTGCTGCGCTCAACATGTCCCACTCCGATGCTCGCCGCTACACGGTTCGCCTACCCAACCCTCACACAGACACGGTTAAACTCGACCGATGAAGGCAGTCCACGAATTCCGGTTAGATATGTCGAGTCTGTCAGACCACAGCAATCCAAGTCAGAACAAATCCGCCTGCAAAGACATGAACGCCGACGTCAATATGTTAGCGAGGGCCCTGTACCGAAGACAACTTTGTACGTCGGCAACCTCTTCTTCGACGTGACCGCGGAGGATCTGCGCAAGCACTTTGAGAAATTTGGTGTCGTGGAGAACGCACTGATCGTTCATGATGCCCGCGGGCTGAGCAAAGGGTAAGTTCCCAAGACCGACGATTGCGGCAGCAATGCAGCCGAAATCCCACCAGACACTGACCCTCTTTACAGTTTCGGCTACGTTACCTACAGCACCATCGAGGAAGCTACGGAAGCAATCACGCAACAGCATGGAGGCATTTTGGAAGGCCGCGAGGTGGTGGTACAGTTCTCCAACTCGACATACAGAACCGCGCTCGACGGCAAGCCCAGCAAGACCCTCTACATCGGCAACGTCCCCTACGAATTGACGGACCAGGATCTGCAAGATTTGTTCGATGATGTTCCCGGTGTCACCGATGTCCGTATCCCTGTCGACCGTCGCACGGGCTTGCCGCGTGGATTCGGACACATCGACTTCGCCGACCAGACCAGCGCTTCCCACGCTAAGGAAGTCCTCTCCCGCAAGGCGCCGTACGGCCGCAAGCTGATTGTCACCTTTGCTAAGCGCAAGGTCTTGACGCCTGAGGACCACCAGCGCCACCAGCAGAAGAGATTGGAGAAGATGACCTCCTACAACAAACGTCAAGGTGCTCAGGATAATGTCGAGTCAACCGAAGGTGTGAGAGAGGTGGGCCAAGTGCAGGAGGTTACCGAGGCGAAGGAGGCCGAGCAGGTTGTCGAGCAGACTGAGACTGAGCAGAAGCAGTAGAGAGGGTTATGTGTAAATTACAAAAATTGTACAATAGTGTGCCAATTTGGCAATCGGAAGCAACTTTCAATTTTGATGTACATTCAACAGAAATGATCTTATCTATACGCATTTTTTTTGGGTCATATATCCTTTATTCCTTTTCGACAATTCTATGTAGGGAATTGTTATTTTGTACCCTCATCTTTGGATCATTGGAATCTCCCCTTGGCTGAAGCTCTAAGAGCATCTTCATAATTGGGTACTGCTTCTGCATTAATCCAAAAGGGAGGTGCTACCTAGGTAACATCAACTTTTTACACCTAGTTCTCTGAGTGATATATTTTTCGATGGCCTCGGGCATTTAATCAGGAGCTAAGAACTTATAAGATAGGTTCCATAGACCATGTAGGTATGATAGTTGCAAAATCGCACGCTCTACGCACTCGTTTCAGCAATTGCAGCCGCAGATCATGAGAGGACTTTTAACTTGATCCTGCCCGCTTATTCTTCCGACGTCTCAACCTCGACCGATGGAGGTCAATGAATAACACTCGCTGCAACTCAACATTCCCAAAAGGATAAGGCAGCCGCATTTCGTCTTGCACAATATCGAGAGAATTGATCTCTTTCCTGGATCTTCGAATCTGTCTCTTTAATTCCGAAGAAAGCTCTATATTTGCTAGGTTTCGCCACGCCATGCCACGATCAGCATATGGTGAATCTCACCTGCACCGTGACGATAGTACTCTATATCAACCGCGCCTAGGAACACAGATACTGCCGAGCTCTGTGCTGTTCGAAGGAGATGGTAAACTTTGATTTTTGCGCGAAACTAAAGGCTACTGAGGAGGTGCTGTCTCCGTTTCAAAGACTTTATAACCATACAGGCCCAGTGTAACCTGGAAAGGCGCACCGCTCCATATGAACCGATTCAACCATGTGGAAAGCAACGCTTATCGACGTCTTCGTCGAGTTGGATTTCTAGCTTTTCGAGGAATACCTCTGCTGTTATTTAGTGAAACCACAGAATCTAACAGGCTGCTTTTACTATGGACAAGGTGCAAACATAATTGATCTGGCCGTGGTCTCTCCGGAGCTAATGGGTATCTTTTGTTCAAGCCTCGAAAGAAGTAGGAATCCATTTCAACCCAGTTATCCCAATGCAGTTAGCGAATTCCCATTGTAGCAAATTTGGGCCCACGTCGGAACGGGCGATTTAATTTGGGATCGTTTGAAATCGGACTATCGGGGTAAGGGCTGGGAGGTTGTTTTACAAAAGGGTTTTCTCCGGCTGTTGTGTTTCAAGAGCACTGGAAGGTAG